CATGTCTGAATAGATAAGTAATTGTGTCTTATCTCCTTCATTCGTTAGACCCGTGAAGATCCGGGCTAGAATAGGTCTTCTGCAACCCATGCTTGCCAGACCCGTGAAGATCCGGGTTAGAAGAAGTCTTCAGCAACCCATGCTTGCCGTAAAAGGTGACTGTGCTTGTCGTAAGAGGCGACTTAAGGGATCGGGTGGTCAGGCTCGCTGATTTGTTTGATGCATGTCATCGTATCCCAATTGCGTAGATCGATGCTCACGATATCAATCACTGGATTGTCTGGTCCGGACTCGATTATTTACAGACCGCCGTCATATAGCATGAATAAGGGTGAGTGCGGCGTTAAACAACAAATAAACATTCATTCATTGGATAATGTTTTTACCAAACTCTCTCCAGTCGTGTATGTGATACAATGTCACGCCCTGTATGTGATACCATGTCACACCATATGTATGTGATACCATGTCACACCCTATATGCGATACTATGTCACAAGGTGTATATGATACTATGTCACATTGTGTATGTGATACCATGTCACACCATATATGTGATACCATGTCACGCGGTGTATGTGATACCATGTCACGAGGTGTATGTAATACCATGTGACGCGGTGTATGTGATACCACATTACCGTAGTATGATATACCATGTCACACCATGTATGTGATACCACATCGCACCATGTATGTGATACCATGTGACGCGGTGTATGTGATACCACATTACCGTAGTATGTTATACCATGTCACACCATGTATGTGATACCATGTCACACTGTGTATGTGATACCATGTCACGCGGTGTATGTTATACCATGTGACGCGATGTATGTGATACCATGTCACACCATGTATGTGATACCATGTCACGCGGTGTATGTGATACCATGTCACACCATGTATGTGATACCATGTCACGCGGTGTATGTGATACCATGTCATGCGGTGTATGTGATACCATGTCATGTGGTGTATGTGATACCATGTCACACCATGTATGTGATACCACATCACACCATGTATGTCATACCATGTCACAAGGTGTATGTGATATCATGTCACAAGGTGTATGTGATACCACTTCACACCATGTATGTGATATCATGTCACAAGGTGTATGTGATACCATGTCACACCATATATGTAATACCACATAACACCATGTATGTGATACCATGTCACACCATGTATGTGATACCACATTACACCATGTATGTGATACCATGTCACAAGGTGTATGAGATACCATGTCACATCGTGTTTGTGATACCATGTCACGAGATGTATGTGTTACAATGTCACATTGTGTATGTTATACCATGTCACACCATGTATGTGATACCATGTCACGAGGTGTATGTGATACCATGTCACATTGCTAATGTTATACCATGTCTCACCATGTATTTCATACCATGTCACACCATGTATGTTATAACATGTCACACTGTGTATGTGAAACCACATCAGACCATGTATGTGATACCATGTCACGAGGTGTATGTGATACCACATCACACCATGTATGTGATACCATGTCACGCGGTGTATGTGATACCATGTCACAAGGTGTATGTGATACAATGTCACATTGTGTATGTGATACCACATCACACCCTGTATGTGATACTACATCACACCCTGTATGTGATACCATGTCACATTGTGTATGTGATACCACATTACACCCTGTATGTGATACCATGTCACGCGGTGTATATGGTACCATGTCACGCTGTGTATGTGATACCATGTCATGGGGTGTATGTGATACCATGTCACGCTGTGTATGTGATACCATGTCAAGGGGTGTATGTGATACCATGTCACGCCATGTTTGTGATACTATGTCACATGGTGTATGTGATACCACATCACACCCTGTATGTGATACCATGTCACACTGTGTATGTGATACCACATCACACCATGAATGTAATACCATATCACGTCGTGTATGTGGTACCATGTCACATTGTGTATGTGATACCATGTCACGCAGTGTATGTGATACCACATCACACCCTGTATGTGATACCATGTCACACCATGTATGTGATACCATGTCGTAAGGTGTATGTGATACCACATCACACCATGAATGTAATACCATGTGACAAGGTGTATGTGATACCATGTCATGCCATGTATGTGATACCATGTCACGCGGTGTATGTGATACCATGTCACGCAGTGTATGTGATACCATGTCACACGGTGTATGTGATACCATGTCACGCGAGTATGTGATACCATGTCACGCGGTGTATGTGATACCATGTCACGTTGTGTATGTGATACCACATCACACCATGTACGTAATACCATGTCACGTGGTGTATGTCATACCATGTGACGTGGTGTATTTGATACTACATCACACCATGTATGTGATACCATGTCACGCGCTGTATGTGATACTACATCACACCATGTATGTGATACCATGTCACACCATGTATGTGATACCATGTCACGTGGTGTATGTGATACCACATCACACCATGTATGTAATACCATGTCACGTGGTGTATGTGATACCACATCACACCATGTATGTAATACCATGTCACGTGGTGTATGTCATACCGAGTGACGCAGTGTATGTTATACCACATCACACCATGTATGTGATACCATGTCACGTTGTGTATGTGATACCATGTCACACCATGTATGTGTTACCACATCACACCATGAATGTGATACCATGTCACGCGGTGTATGTGATACCATGTCACGCCATGTATGTGATACCACATCACACCATGTATGTGATACCATGTCACGCGGTTCATTCGATACCACATCACACCATGTATGTGATACCATGTCACGTGGTGTATGTGATACCATGTCACGCGGTGTATGTGATACCATGTCACACCATATATGTGATACCATGTCATGTGGTGTATGTGATACCTTGTCACACCGTGTATGTGATACCATGTCACGCTGTGTATGTGATACCATGTCAGACCATATCTGTGATACCATGTCATGCGGTGTATGTGATACCTTGTCACACCGTGTATGTGATACCATGTCACGCAGTATATGTGATACCTTGTCACACCGTGTATGTGATACCATGTCATGCATTGTATGTGATACCTTGTCACACCGTGTATGTGATACCATGTCACTCAGTGTATGTGATACCTTGTCACACCGTGTATGTGATACAATGTCACGCGGAGGGGCGGTCGGGTAGCCTAGTGGTTAAAACGTTCGCTCGTCACGCCGAAGATCCGGGTTTGATTCCCGACATGGGTACAATGTGTGAAGCCCATTTCTGGTGTCCCCCGCCGTGATATTGCTGGAATATTGCTAAAGGCGGCGTAAAACCATACTCACTCACCATGTCACGCGGTGTATGTGATACCATGTCACACAGTGTATGTGATACCATGTCACGTGGCATATGTGATACCATGTCACACCGTGTATGTGATACCATGCCACACCGTGTATGTGATTCCATGTCACGCGGTGTATGTGATACCATGTCACACCATATATGTGATACCATGCCACACCATGTATGTGATACCATGTCACGCGGTGTATGTGATACCATGTCACACCATATATGTGATACCACGTCACGTGGTGTATGTGATACCATGTCACACCACATATGTGATACCATGTCACGCGGTGTACGTGATACCATGTCACGCGGTTCATGTGATACCACATCACACCATGTATGTGATATCATGTCACACGGTGTATGTGATACCATGTCACACCATATATGTGATACCATGCCACACCGTGTATGTGATACCATGTCACGCGGTTCATGTGATACCACATCACACCATGTATGTGATACCATGTCACACGGTGTATGTGATACCATGTCACACCATATATGGGATACCATGCCACACCGTGTATGTGATACCATGTCACGCGGTTCATGTGATACCACATCACACCATGTATGTGATACCATGTCACACGGTGTATGTGATACCATGTCACACCATATATGGGATACCATGCCACACCGTGTATGTGATACCATGTCACGTGGCGTATGTGATACCATGTCACACCGTGTATGTGATACCATGTCACGCGGTGTATGTGATACCATGTCACACCATATATGTGATACCATGCCACACCATGTATGTGATACCATGTCACACGGTGTATGTGATACCATGTCACACCATATATGTGATACCACGTCACGTGGTGTATGTGATACCATGCCACACCGTGTATGTGATACCATGTCACGCGGCGTATGTGATACCATGTCACACCATATATGTGATACCATGCCACACCGTGTATGCGATTCCATGTCACGCGGTTCAGGTGATACCACATCACACCCTGTATGTGATACCATGTCACACGGTGTATGTGATACCATGTCACACCATATATGGGATACCATGCCACACTGTGTATGTGATACCATGTCACGTGGCGTATGTGATACCATGTCACACCGTGTATGTGATACCATGCTACGCGGTGTATGTGATACCATGTCACACCATATATGTGATACCATGCCACACCATGTATGTGATACCATGTCACGCGGTGTATGTGATACCATGTCACACCATATATGTGATACCACGTCACGTGGTGTATGTGATACCATGCCACACCGTGTATGTGATACCATGTCACGCGGCGTATGTGATACCATGTCACACCATATATGTGATACCATGCCACACCGTGTATGCGATTCCATGTCACGCGGTGTATGTGATACCATGTCACACACATTCCCGTCGCGTTCCCTTCCATATGCCAGTGTCGGAACTGATATATCTTTATGTCAGCACTCGGAAGGTGAGAGTTAAGCTGTTATAAGCAAACTCTTATTTTATGTAACATTTTAACCAAAACACGTATAAAAAGCATCAATCTAAAACACTAAAACAATCAAAGAAATTGTTCACAGGTCGACGTTCACAAAATATGTCCACAAACACAATAAGTATATTATACGTCCTCTTCGTTGAATTTTATCTGAAGGGAATTCCACCGGAAGGGATTTCCCAAAATATGAAAACGAGGCTGGGGATTCCCTTACAGATGTCGCTGTGAACAAGCGTTTCAATGCATAATTATTTTGTGTAGAAAAACAGCGATTTCACTGATAGAACTTAGGTCGGCGCTAGCCTGTCAATCGTGACATGTTTCAATGTGTGTTATCAAGGATTGTAACACAAAGATGTGCGTATTTCCAACATGGAATAACCTGCCGAACGTTTCAAGCTGACGAAATGATAACAAAATTATTCCAACAAGCCTCACAATCTCATCGAAAAATTCACCGATCTGCAATGATGCTGGTTGCAATGACTCGTAAGCACAAACCCGTTGTTTCAAAGAGAGTTTTAGCAAAAAATCTTACTTTGACAACTGGCGAATTGTCCGTTGCAAGCAGATTAATAGAAAAATGGATTTACGAAGTGGACCCTTTCGGTAAACTTGACATTAATGTCCCGTTTGACGTTGAAATCTCAACTCTAAATCCACAGGAATATCCGGAAATGAACAAGGCGTTAATAACAATACTCACCAAGGAAGATGGTCAGAATGACAAAGCCAGATCATTCGCAGACATTTACAACTTAAAGATAGATTTATGTGGTGATAAGAAGAACCTAACAGTGACGACCGCCATGGCAGACGGGATAGTCCTACCTGTGATATGCAGCATTAAACTGCCGCTGAAGTTTGGTAAATATCACGTTTTTATTCAACCAAGATTCCCCATCAAATCATAATGTTTTATTAGGCATGTACCATAATCATCAATTAACAGTCGACCCATATTAATTTCAGTAATCATTAGGTAGTCTGTGATTCAGTTCCTAAAACAAGTCCAGCCCATGCAGGTCTATAATAGTTGGCAAGCCTAGATTACGACAGTTTCAGTTTTGAAAATGAAGAAAGTCTCTGGGCTCTTTTTTATCATATTGGCCTACCTTTAGAATACAGTACCACAAAATTGTCAAACACGCAATAATACCCTATGACTTTATCTGTGATATTTTGTTGCCAGATATTTCGGTGAACTTTTCTGTAAAAATATCATTTCAAAGACTGGATGTTAGTCTACACATTTGGCAGTCCAAGCAAATTAGATTCCAGCCATAATAAACCCACTTTGTTTGTCTGTAAACTCAAATTGTGTGATGTACAGTGTAAACTGCATTGTAAATTATTCAAGTTCCTTCTTAAATATGGGCTGCAATATTTTCCAAAATTTGAATAGAACCAGATAAATATCTGTCAGTTAGTAGAAAACTTAAAAAATACACTTAAAACATGCAGACATTTATTACGGAGATGTTCATTTACGTTAGTAGGAATCAGCAATGAGCTAGATCATTGTAGATAGTAAAGGGTTGCACTGTATGTAGTTCAGAGCTCCAGATCCCTTCGTGTTTGCATAAAATACATAAATATGATAAATAAATCATGACCTGTGACGACCCACAATAAAACACAATATATTAACTCAGATGCACACCTGTGTTTCATATCTGATTGAATGCAGGCATCACGCATGCATGAACTCTAATGCAGTATATTAATGCATGGAAGTTCTGTGCTGATTGATGGAGTGGAGATAAATGTCAGACTGTTGTGTGTCAGTGTGACATGGGACACACTTAGGGGCTGTATGATCACATGATGCACAATTGCAAATTAGATGTCACCTGAAACAGCATTTGAAGGAGAGCTAGTTTTGTTTAAGTACTTAAATATGCAGACTGTTAAATGAGGTGCTTTAAACACTCAAATGAATGTACCGGTAATCAAATGTGAAATGACAAAATAGTTCAAAATGACATTTGAGAACATATTTACCAAGAGTCTTCATAATATATCAGATTGTGCAGCTGTCAAAATGCAATAAAACAATAAATCGTGACAAACAAACATGTACCATGGAGGATGCCATTTTGAAGGGAAAACATATAGGAGGTCTTTTGTGGAATGTTAATAACCTCAGACATTTTTTGGGTCTAAATATTGGGTGGGGGGGCGTCAGAATAAATATAACCCATGCTTGCCATATAAGGCGACTATGCTAGTTGTTAGAGATGACTAACGGGATTGGGTGGTCAGGCTCGCTGACTTGGTTGATGCATGTCATTGTATCCCAATTGTGTAGATTGATGCTCATGATGTCATTCAGTGGATTGTCTGGTCCAGACTTGATTATTTACAGACCGCCGTCATATAGCTGGAATAATGCTGAGTGGAGTAAGTGCAGAGTAAAACAACAAACAAACAAAACTAATTGTATGCAGCTTCGGCAATACTTTTTGTGTGATCTGCCAGTGACAGGAACTGAAAAGAGGAACAAATATCACGCTTTAAGTCCATGAAAATGCAGGACCAAAGAGACTGGCATGACAAACACGGCATCTCAACTGTTTTTAGAAAATATTTGTATGACAAAACAAAAATTCTTGCATGTTTACGACATAAAAGGGGGTATTTCTTCAATCTAGCCCTGGATCGCTCGATCACTCACTCTTTGTTATTTAGATGTGAGAGTGAGAAATACACAGCCATGTGATGTGTCCATCAAGAAGACGGAGTGTGCTGATATTGATGTGGTGCTCACAAAGGGAGACTGCCTGTTGAAGAGTGTGAAGGTACTGTCTTTCTCACATGACTGACATTTGTCTGGTGTTCCACTGTTCTGAATACACTATTTAGGAAGACATTATTTAAGTCATTATGGGGACCAGGGCGTATGTTGCGATTTTTCCTGAATGAGTATATAGAAAAACAAATATAATTGTACATTGATTCCATTTTTGGGGAAAACACTACCAACATGTTGTTATTCCCAGCCCTCCCAGAGGATACCAGTTTGTCAAAATCAAATTACATCAGGAAAATATGAAAAATATGTTCAATACTTATCATGTTTATCAATTAAATAACTCTCTCTGCCCATGCCCCAAACTGTGAATCATTTCAGCCCACCTCCCAAACCCCCCACCCCAATTTTTTTACCATATTATATCCCCAGGCTAGGCCACTTTGTTGATTCTGTTTCAAATCTATCTGTTACTTTTTTGCACATTTTAAAAAAAGATAATATAATCTGTAATGGGCGTTAAACCAACTACTGAAAGATTATCAACCAGTAAACAAATCATAAGATGTCTTCCTCCTTTCAGAGTGGCCGGGTGGCAGTGGAATGTAGTAATGGGAATATCACAAGTGACTCTCTGCTGCAGGGCAACATCAAACTCAGAGCCGCAGGAAAAGGGGTAAATTGATGTCTCCATGGCAACAAACTTTTCATGTTGTGTCATTTCAGTGCTTTGAGTAATAATTAATATTTGATAAAGTCTCTACTGTATTCTTATTTCAAATCAATTTTTTCAAAACACAAATGGGGTATCTGGCATGTCTGGCTCATTGAGCTTCATCTTCAGCTTCAGGGCCACTGGTCATGGGGTCAAATCCCAGGTTTGATACATGGACCTATGTCCACACTCTCTTTTTTTTACTTTAAAATTTAGAGTTATGACAAGAATCCCTTGACTTAAGTTAGTTTGGTGGCAACACTGTGCCAGGTTCCAGAGTTTAGCCTCCATTACTGTTGGCTCTCTTTCCACATTAAACTGACAGAACTGAAATAATGTTCAAGGCCGCATCTAAGAACTTGTCCAACATCAAGGCTACATCAAACATACCCACCTTGTCCACCATCAAATGGTAAATCTGTTAGTGCAACATGTTTAATGCTTTTACGATAATATATATATGTATTAATGTTGCAGAGAAGAACTTATATTGTGTTCCTAGTAGCTGAGAATGTGTCATTCATGATTTAAAAAGCTCACAATTAGGTTTTAGTGGCTGACTTTTTTTGTTGTCTTCCATCAAAGATTGAGTGGTCAGCTAAATAAAAAATAAATTGAAACTATTTCTGTTTTCTGATTGTGTTTTTTCGTTTGTTCGAATCTGTAAACTTAATAAGAGTTTCTCACTCACTGAACACTCTTCCTTTCAGTATATCAAGGGGAAACGCTTCCAGGGTTCAACTGTAGAGTGTATCACAGATGCGGGAGACTTACATATAGGGGCCATCTATGCAGACAAGAGTCACTTCTTCAGTTGCCATGGTGATGTACATCTTGGTTCTTGCCATGGAAATACTGATGTAAAAATTGACACTGGGAGCCTCACTGTAGGTGTGTACTGGTACATCTTAAACCTACTCTGAACCTTGCAGCTCCACCCTGTGATAGGACGTCCTAGGACAACACAGACCACACAGACCCATCCAGCAGAACAGTGATGACTGTTGTATGGTCTGAGTTATCTCCCTTGAGTTTCAAAATCAGCTGAAGAAAATGCAGTCTGTTTGAAGTAGTAGATCCAGTATGACTTTGGGAAGCTGACCTGAAACCAGTCACTATTAATACATACATATATGTGTGTAATATATAAACTGCAATGAGTAATATGTTGGTTTATTGCATATAATCATTGAAATGTCCACATTTTGGTCATAAGGATGTCAACTGGAACTGGAACTGTTGTGTATTTAAGCTGCATAATTGAAATCAATCTATTGCCAATTTGAAACAATGACATCAAGAATTGTTGATTAAAAGTCACATGGAGAGAGAGAGAGAGATTTTAATATCCACATCTGGTTATAATATTCCAAAAATTAATTCTTATTATACATTCGTGTATTTAAAATATGTGAAACTAGGATCGCGATGAATGATTTTCGCTACATGTATATAATAAAGTGTGAGTTTGACATGGTAGTGAACAAGTGTGCCTGACACAATCCTAACAATAGAATGCATGCTAACCCCATTCTCTTTTTTTCATTTGGACAGTTACATTATTTGATAAAGATTTTAGAAATACATAGTGGAAAAAAGTTAATACACATTGTGGACATCCTTAAGAATTTTAATATTGATGAATTCTATTATCATAAAACATGTTTTCTGACATCCTTTAAAACATTGCCTTCAGATACTTTAAATGGAGATTTGACTGCTGCAATTGACAATGGCAATATTGATGTCTTCATAGAGCGACACGACAAAGTAGATGTGTCTTGTGGTGCAGGTGAGTCTTCAGTGGCTGGGCATCGTCTGTAGCGGCATCACAGTGGTGTCACGCTACAGAGACGTGAACCATGCAAACTAGTGGTTGATAGTGTGAGCATTTATATAAACAGGATGACACCGGTCACAGCTGAACAAACAAAACACATTAACCAATGGTTACTGATCCAAGTTAGCTATATTCATTCTCAGCTGCCATTCTGGCCACACAATACCAATTTTGGTCATCTCCCATTATTACCAGTACTTAAGGGACTGGTCTGACAATGTGAATACCCTACCCCAGTTGTCTACCTCATACATTACACAGTGTTTAATCTCTCAACATCGCTGGGCTTATTCAATGACATTGACAATGACAATGTGTGGGGTTGATAAGATCACTGGGAGGAGCTTATGAACACACAATGACCCCCACAACCCTGTTGCTCGGCTGAGGTCACAGGGCATTACTTCGCCAATGTATCTTGCAACAACATTTTTGCATATCATGTCCTATGACATTGTGACATGTTTATAAACGTTTTGGTGCCGAGTTCTAAAGTATGGCAGTTGTATGGTATTAAAGTTATATGTGTCAGCTTTTAATGTATTTGATCTGTATTATTCTGTTAAACTCAGTTGGATTGTGTTGTGGATCACATCGATGTCTGCTTATTTACACTTGACAGTGAAATGTTGTATTCATATCTTTGACCTAGTTTATAATGGGAATTCCCATAGTTTGATCAAATGACATTTTGAAAAGTTATAAACAGCAGGTAATAATTAAAATACTAAACAAGCTCCCTTGTGATACCAGTTTCATGAAACGAGTGAATAGGTATTACAAGGGAGCTCATTTAGCAATGTTTAGTATTCTCTGTACATGTGTTGTGTGTATTTGCAGGTGACATCAGTCTGAAATGCAGAAAAGACCTAGAATCCGAAATGAGAGTCATAGCTGATTCCATGGCTGTTGATGATGACATCAAGTTTGACCACACGACATCATCTCACGAAGGTCAAACCAAACATGAAGGTCAGCAGGAAGATGTGTTGTATCTGTACATCAGATAATGGTTGTATATTTGTGCAAACATGACCCTCATCAAACTCTCAGGTCCTTGGGTATGATTGTATGTTAAAGCATTTGCAGCCAACACCATGAGCTTGTCATTGTCTTGACTGTGTTTCTTTGTAAAGTGAAAAGTAAGTTGAGCAGAAAAAACCAACTGAGCAAAAAAAAAATAGTTCAAGTCAGAACAAACATTTTATTTCAGCCTAATTTCAGCTTAACCTTCATACCATATTTAATGATTTAATGTGTGAGAGGATGAGTGACTTTTAAAGCACAGTAATGAGGATAACAGGGCGAGGCCTGTCACTTTTCATCCTAAAAGTGTACAATTACGAGTCCTGGATCTGTCTTTGAGCACAGCCAAACAGTGATGTTATGTGTGTGCATTTTAAGATCCATGCAGTTTGAATGGTTGTTGTGTAAAGGGTATTGTAGGACAACATTGTTGGGATATACTTGTATTACAGATGGACCCAGTGACGAACTCCATCAGACAAGAGCCTCTCTGAGATCTTCGTTTGTAATAACTGAAACAATTTCTGTTTCAGGTTTTCTCACCAGCCAAGGGGGAGGGGAGATATGTGCACACACAAGGAAAGGAGCAGTCAGGATCACTTGTCACAACTGGTTATCTTCCCTTGGTCTCAAGTTTGACTGATCCACGTCTGCTACAGCTAGAATATCACTACTGGCGGTTCATGGCACAACTGGTTATCTTCCCTTGGTCTCAAGTTTGACTGATCCACGTCTTCTACAGCTAGAATATCACTACTGGCGGTTCATGGCACAACTGGTTATCTTCCCTTGGACTCAAGTTTGACTAATCCACGTCTGCTACAGCTAGAATATCACTACTGACAGTTAATGGCACATCTGGTTATCTTCCCTTGGACTCAAGTTTGACTGATCCACGTCTGCTACAGCTAGAATATCACTACTGGCGGTTCATGGCACATCTGGTTATCTTCCCTTGTTCTCCAGTTGGACTTATCCACGTCTGCTACAGCTAGAATATCACTACTGAAAATAATGGCACAACTGGTTATCTTTCCTTGGTCTCCAGTTTGACTGATCCACGTCTGCTACAGCTAGAATATTACTACTGACAGTTAATGGCACATCTTCCCTTGGTCTCCAGTTTGACTGATCCACATCTGCTACAGCTAGAATATCACTACTGACAGTTAATGGCACGTCTTCCCTTGGTCTCCAGTTTGACTGATCAACGTCTGCTACACCTAGAATATCACTACTGACAGCTAATGGCACATCTTCCCTTGGTCTCCAGTTTGACTGATCAACGTCTGGTACAGCTAGATTATCACTACTGACAGTCATGGCACAACTGTGACTATATCATCCTCAACATCTCCAGGGCTCGCAATTCAGCAAGCCTATACTAAGCCCTGGATCCATTCCATGTTCTCGCAATCTCAATTTACCCTCCTTCATTTTCATTAACATTTTACCGACCAATCAAATGTGGAGATAAGGAATAAGGAAATAGGCAGATTGCAGGGAATGCTTGGAAGCAAAGGGACTTGCCACCATCAGTGTTAATAGACATGAAGAGATCCTTTCCATCAAAAACATTATTTAGGGCTTTCTTTCTCATGTCAGTCAGCTTTTCAATGTTGGATTTCTTGCATGCTCTATCATAATCAGTGGTACTGGTCGCCATGTTGTTGATATTGCTGATCCAAATTTTGAGGCTGTTTTGTAACTCGCATTCTGATTGGTCCGTTAGACTGAGTAGCACAGTAAATCAAAGTGATTTATGGAAATCAGGGGCGGTTAATTTGAGATTGCAAGAACCACGTGAACGGATCCATTTGGCTTTACGCTACTTTTATCAACTTTCAAGCAATATCACGGCAGGTACTTTTATCATTAAACAAAGAACATGTCTTCACTAGAATGGGTCCCTTCTTTGAAAAACTTTCAGCCAAGATTAGTCACAGGTCAAGGTTACTCTTTTTCATCCTCATTCCGAGGCACATTTACCTCTACAGCCCTGATGACTTATATATAAATATATATATATATATATATATATATGAATCCCTCATCAAATGTCAGTCATCTTTGAGGTCATTGTGGAGTGGTTGTGTCATTCATTGCCAGTCACTGTTGCACCTTAGTTGATGTTAGATGATGTCATACTGGTATTTGTTCCTTTCACAATACATGCTACACTAACCATGTTGCCAAATTCAGATGTGACATCGCCAGATTATAAAGCATATGTCTTTCTTATAAAGCACTGAGCATTCTGTACTGTACTAGGCCTCCTGAAGTATTCACATTACATCATAAGTTTATTTGGGTTTCTTATTAGCCTAGTTGGGCGTTTGGTTGGTTTGTTGTTGAACGCTGCACTCAGCAATGTTCCAGCTATATGACAGCAGTCTGTAAAGAATCAAGTCTAGACCAGACAATCCAATGATTGACATCATGAACATCACTCAACACAATTGGGATACCAGGACAACCAAGGATCCACCTGGTCCATTTAGTTATCTCTCATGACAAGCATGGGGACCTATATTCCAGCCCAGAATCCCCATGGGGTGGACAAGCATAAATTGCAGGGGATCCCTATTCAAACCCAGAATCCCCAGTTCCCTATCCATAGACATGGTACTTTCAAGTTTAAGCTTTTTCTGTAGTTAGCATGTGTTTGCCCAACTGGAAGTTATAAGTTAAGACTGAAGGCTACTTCTGATTGTGAAAGTACTTGCAAACACCACTAGTTGCAGTTTATTACGTTGGCACATGGAGGTTTCAGCCAAGTACATATACAAGTCAGCATGGTAAACACTATCACTGAATAACAGACTTCTGAGTCAGGAATTACATATTTGACTGACTGGAGTGAAAAGGTAATAAAATTAGCATCATTTTTTTGGTATTTATCTGTCCATAAGCATTTTTATTTTCTCACAACACCGACCAAAAATGAAATAAATTATGCCCAAAATGATATGAACAAAACTTGATCTACACATATATATTTTGACTGACACAAGCTATTATGTTTGCAAGCCCGAAGTGATGCAGGTCTCAGACGTTTACCACTTTGGTGAAACCCACGAGCACGGGTATGGTGCTGACAAAACCTAGAAACATGATCGGGGCGTACCGAGATTCGAACCCACAATCATAGGTTTCTGGCGTGCCCAAGGGCCGCAACTCTGCACAGTGAATCGCGGCGCCTTAGACGACTGGGCCCACCAAGCCAAGGAGATTTAAACTTTTATCAATGATTGTTGATATGTTTGATATCAAAAGACACTCTGGTGAGATTCTATTTTTTCATCCAAAATCATTCTTCAAACTTTTTTAGTTTGTAGACAGTTAAAAGCATGTCTGAAGTGTAAAATGTACTGCTAACCAGCTTCAGTAGCAGAGCCATTAGTGATGTCATTTGATAGTGATGTCATGGTAACCGATGATGTCACAATGGTAAGCACTGTGAAGCAATGTCAGTGCAGCAGTACCTCCTGTTGGAGCCAGCTTTGGATGATAAATGGCGTTCTCTATGGCATGTGTTTTGCATGGAAAATATTGTTAAAATATATCAAAGTCTTAGTCAATGTTCACATGTGTATCGCATCAATTACATGCAACAGGGCCAGCATGTCACTTCCAATTTCTCTCCTTTCCAATGGTACTTGCAATCAGTTTGTGTGGGTGCGCTATCAGGTCACTGTATAATGTAACGAAATAAAAGTGTTCCACAACTGCAGTATAAATGTTGGTCTTTTGCATGTGTTGAGTGTCTATTACAGTGTGTCACTGTGTAGTTTTCAAAGACCCGTTCTTTTGATGGTGAGACCAGACTAGGGTACTTAACATGTGAAATGAGCTTGTTGAAATTAATAGTTAACAGTTTGTGTTCAAAGCAGTTACTTTCAATCACAAGTCGCAGATATGTGTATCCACGACAACCTTAGCCATCTACCCATCACAGCACAAGTGACAACATCCAGGGCAAGCATTTCGGTAAACCTACACTAACCCCTGGATCCATTTCCGTGGTTCTCGCGATTTCAAGAGCCCTGCAGATATAGAGCATGACACGACAAATGTACACATCAAATTTGGAATAGAATGTAGGTACAATATGTGTCCATGACGTCCATATTTGCTTTCCGACTGCATCCTCGTTGTAACTAACCTTGCTGGGAGCGTGTGATGCAATCTAAATGGGAGTGGAACACAGAAACCAGGACTTTTTACTGAATATAAGTATCTTTATCTTCGCCTTCACAAATTAAAAAAATTAAGCATTTGGCTCCAAATTTCCAGGCATCATATACTCAATAACACCTACAAATCTGAACAGAAATTACCTCCTAATTATCAAATCTTTAGTAGTCATACACAAGAATTAAGTTGTCCTTTAATCTTACATTAAATATCCTCAGCGTCGGCATCAGAAATATGTCAGCTATTCAAGGTGTTTGATATCCTTTGACCCCCATTTGAAGAGCAGAGCTGGTAAATCAAATCTGACAGTCCCTCCACCTGAATGATCTGGCAAATGATATTGTCCACTTTATAGTTTATGATGATGTGTTTTATTGTCATGAATAGTATATATACAATGTGTCTATTTCACAATACTCCGTCTCATTTCTAAACCATGGATCTGTAAATATGCCCAAGTTCATTCCATGTTTTGAGTTTGAGAGTACTCTTGAAGTATCTTGGGTGAAAATCGTATCTCTGTATAAACAGTTAAACAGGCCTGATAAACAATGATACACACCACAGTGGCTTATTTCAACAACAGGCCTGATAAACAATGGCTCACTTCACCACAGGCCTGATAAACAATGGCTCACTTCACCACAGGCCTGATAAACAATGGTGTCCTTCACCTCAGGCCTGATAAACAATGGCTCACTTCAACACAGGCCTGATAAACAATGGCTCACTTCAACACAGGCCTGATAAACAATGGATCACTTCACCACATGCCTGAAAAACAATGGCTCACTTCAACACAAACCTGATAAACAATGGCTCGCTTCAACACAGGCCTGATCCATCAGGGTAGGATGGTCAGGGTGAGATCCATCGGGGCAGGAGTATCATGGTGAGTTCCATATGGGCAGGGTGAGTTCCATCAGGGCAGAAGGCTCAGGCTGAGTTCTTTCAGGGCAGAAGGGTCAGGCTGAGTTCTTTCAGGGCAGAAGGGTCAGGCTGAGTTCTTTCAGGGCAGAAGGGTCAGGCTGAGTTCTTTCAGGGCAGAAGGGTCAGGCTGAGTTCTTTCGGGGCAGGAGGGTCAGGTTGAGTTTTTTCGGGGCAGAAGGATCAGGGTGAGTTCCATCAGGGCAGGAGGGTGACTTTGCATCAGGGCAGGAGGGTGACTTCTATCAGGTTCCATCAGGCTAGGGGATCAGAGGTTAGGCCAAGGATGATGTGCTCCATCAGCACTGTCAGCATCCCACCCCTCATCTCACTGTGTGCTCCATCAGGCCTGGGGGTCACGGTATTCCACATCAGGTTTATCACTGATCAGCTGTACCTCTCTCAAGCCCTTAAAATGAACACTTAAGATTGTCAACAGTATGAACTGAATAATTTTAAAGCTATCGCAAAGCTACCCTAGCAAGAGGTGATCATAACTCCGATACTTTAACATAGATTTTACGATAGTCGAGATCGCTTTGTGTAATGGGGTCCTAAACCCAGATTAGGCCTTATATTTCTACTTGTTGGTTTACAAAACTCAATGAAACCAGCTGATACTTAAAGTTAATTTGGAACTTAAATTTTAGATCAAGCATTTCATAAACCAACAATACAAAAAGATCTGTGAAGATCCAGGTTAGATTAGGTCAGCAGCAACCCATGCTTGCCGTAAAAGGTGACTATGCTTGTAATAAGAGGCGACTAATGGGATTCGGTGGTCAGGCTCGCTGACTTGGTTGATGCATTTCATCGTATCCCAAATGCGTAGATCGATGCTCATGATGTCAGTCACTGAATTGTCTGGTCATTATTTACAGCCATCATATAACTGGAATATTTCTGAGTGTGGCGTTAAACAACAAACAAACAAAGTAAAACAAAAAAGAAGGCTTTGTGGCCACTTGACACTGGCTAACACCCAAGTATTGTTGCCAACTTGTGGCTGATTGATGTAACATCTGTGTTGATTAACGCCACACTCACCAATATTCCAGCCATATGGAAATAACTTGGATCAGATAAGCCAGTGATTGACATTTTGACCAATGCTATCTGAGACCAATGACACACATACCAGCAAGTCACTGAGCCTGACCGTCTATATCGTCACCTCATACAACAAACTAAGCTTGCTGGGCACCTGCTCTAACCAGGAAATGCCAAAAGGATATCAGTAGTAGTGGACACTGGTATTAATTAATGTATATCAGAAACCTAGGCTGTCTCTTCCTTTTAGCCTAAAGTCATTTAAAACAAGAAAACAAAGCCACTGGGCACATTAGAACTTTGTTTGTTCATTCAGGAGTGAATAATATGGAGTTTAATGTTAACTTTAACTAAAAAGAGTCCCAATAAAACTTAAAGAATTGATATGCACAAGGGTGGCTTTTATGTCAAGAAAAATCTGATTAAATGTAAAAATAATACACACAAGAAGCCCCTGATAAAAATATTTTATGGCTCCAAATTTCCGAACTCAGTCTTGATAAGTATCTCTTAGATGTGCTTGCCAAGTTTCATTAATATAACTTACGTAGTTTCTGAGAAAACCTGTCCCCATTGCAAACACTACGCACAAAGTAAATTAATATGGATCAAGGGCTGTAACTGTGAATGGACAAATTCTAAGAACATGTAGCAAGGGATGCAACTCTGGGAAAAAATAATTTATGGCACCAATTTTCAAACTCAGCCTTGAGAAGTATCTTTTAGATAGGCAAGCAAACTTTTATTCATGTAATTTTAGTAGTGTCTGAGAAAACTTGTCCCCACTTCACACAGTATGCACTGAGCTGAAAGGCTTGGAGCAAGGTCCTTAACTCTACAAAACTGAATTTAACACACAATTTTCGAACTAATTTTGAAATCGTGACGAGTAAAATGCGTGTAAAAATTCATTGCTCTAACTTCAAAAGATTTTGAGAAAATTTGTCCTTATTGAGAAGCGGATGGACGGAGGATGGGCAGACAAACTCTGTTCCTATACCCCCTGCCCCATATTATATCACAAGCTTGGATACTTCAGGACTGGTGTGATCTACTTATTTCAAGATGAGAAATATAACAATTACTATGTATCAACAAACAATGTAAGAACTGTGCCAAGTGGCCATGATAGTGGGCATCTGTCCAACCCACCTCCAGAACTAGCCTGATGTGAGCTTTGACCTTAGCTGCATCTTTAGACAGTTGATCAGTTTTGTCTGTCAGGGCAGCAGTCTTCTTATCAATAAACTTGAGAGCCTCGTCCAGGCTGAACTCCAGGAAGAAGCCAAATCCTACAGCTACACATATCCTGGCGGTATCGGGTCTGCAAACACACACAGGAAATACAGTCACACTACATCTTCTCGAGGCCAGGGAGTTAAATGACTGTACAAGTCCAGTTTCCATCCTTGCCAAACTACGCTGGAATTTCTGGGCTTGATCGAAGCACCACTAGTTGCTATTACAATATCACATCTATGTCCCTGTTATTGACCAATCAGATTCCACCTCTCATATCACTTGTGATATGCATCAAATCACATGAGCACCTTCATTAAAAACATGAAAAGATTAAGAAAATATCTGCTGATGCCGAGTTGGTGGTACACATGCTTTACAAATCCTGCAATCGACAGAAATCTGCGCAGCTATTTATGAACCTTATGTCGATTTTGTTATGCGATTTTGATTGGACTATTCATAGACTTGTTAGTTCAGCTAAAATATGACTCCATAACTCCAGACTAGTTCAGCAAGGGTGGAAACTGGACTTTTACATTTAGTTAAGAAGATGGTCACACTATTGTTCAAATGTCAGAGAGTGATTAGTGTCTGTAATATCACAGGTACACAACTGCCTGCAAAGACATTCGGCCCAAAACAGTAAGTGAAGCTGTCAACAGAAAAAGCATTTATATGTAGTCATCTGTACCTGCCAAAATCACTGATACAGTGGGAGTGAGTGAGTTGGGTGAGATGTGGGAGGAAAGCCTGTATTGATGAAGATCTCTGACTGTTTCTGTTCTGCCCTAGGGATGAGACTTGCAGAGCCACCATAGATGACTGGGCCACCTGCCCCCCATCCACCTCACCCGCCCCCAACCCCATTATAATGAACCCTGGTCTGCGTGCATAAATAGCCTCAGCTGTAGATTATTTGAACCTGTGGTAAAATTTTATTAATTCTAGTGCAGCAATTTACAAAAATAAAAAAGATTAACACATGAAGCAAGTTAATATTTTGATGTTTCCTAATTCCTACAAATTTCACTTTTTGAATTTTTCTGTATTTCAACTGTCCAACAATTTGTTTACAAACACACTTAACAAACATGTTTCTAAAGTTTCAAATTAATTTTTATTTTATCCCAAGACTTGACAGGTTTTGCAAATAATTATGTTATGTAACCAAGTTAAAAGTAGAGGTCAAACATTGAAAAACAATAGTTGTAGCACAGAAATCATTTTTTTTAAATGTTCCTTGGGCCCATATTTGTCTGCCCACAATCACAGTGAACACATTTTTACTTACACTTTGCCTTGAACATAAAAGTTACAGCCCAGATCTACCTGTGTCTTCAGTTCTCCGCCATCAGCATCCTGGAGATGAGAAAATATTATAAACTTGATAAAAGCTGAAACACAATACTATACTATAGTATTAGTTGTCAACCAGTCTTGAGGGGTAAATCGGGTGATGTACCCTGAGAGTGTGTCTATGTACCAGCGAGGACTACATAGCCTCTCACACAGGGTACATCACATTGTATAACCCCATGGACCGGTTGACAGAAAGCTTTATCTTACCGGCATAATTTTTCCTTGTTTATCTCAAATGTTTTCTTCAGTATGGTAGCAAACCATTTCACAGACATCTTGACAGATACCAGACAACCTATGCACACACATTCAGTGTTGTCACCCTTGCATTACACCAGGATATGCATGGTCAAGTTCGCTAAACTGCATTTGACAGGTGTTCAGTTATGTGATATATAGCAATATTATTGTATGAATTTGTGTTGACAGACTTAAAATGAATATTTTCAAGCCATGCAATCTGTTAAAGACTAAACTGTCACCTTTGTTTTTTCAATGACTGTCTTCAGTTGGAGGTATTCTGCAATCTGACTGTACACTTTGTCTCTTTCATCAAGTATTTTCCTGTGCACAAGATATTTGAAAACAATCATATCATGATCACTGGATAATACATACATGCATGGTGTTTACATGTGACAAGTAAACACAAGAAAAGGGCTTTACACCCTAGCCTCATAACAACCTCACAGCTGTAGGAATTTTTGTTTGTTTGCTGCTTAACGCTGCACTCAGGAATATTCCAGCTTCTCTGATGGCAGTCTGTAAATAATTGAGGCTGGATGAGACAATCCAGTGATTGATATTATAGGCATCAATCCACACAATTGGGATACGATAACATGCATCAACCAGTCAGCAAGTCTGACCACCTGATCCTGTTAGTCGCTTCTTGCGATCTCATGACAAGCACAGTCACCTTTAATGGCAAGCATGGGTTGCTGAAGACCTATTCTATGAGGGGCAGTAAACCTGTGGTTCATAGTTTGAGGTGAGGTGAAATTGGGTTTAACGTCGCGTCCAAGATTATTGCACTTATATAGCGACGTGCATGCACGTGTATGTGTGTGTGTGGCTGCTTGTACTAGTCCGGACTGATGCCGATTTATAGTGCTAGCTCACTGAGATACCATGCCGCAGTTTAACATGAATACCCCACTCAGACACAGTATACTGACTCCGAGCCGACCAGTCCTTGTTTTAGCCCCTTAATGCCGAGCGCCAGACAGGGTAACAACAAGTACAATCTTTTAACGTCTTTTTGTATGACGCGGCCCGGGATCGAACCCCGGACCTTCCGCTCTCCGGGCGGACGCTCTACCACAAGACCACGGAGGCGGTCTCATAGTTTGAGAATTGATCTACCTTGATGCATGATCTACAGTAGGGCACTAGCCGGGTACGCGACCACCCTATTATCCAACCCTACCCACATGGTCAGAAGGAAATGTGAACATTAGCGACTTGAGCGTAACCATGGAGTTTTATGTTATTGTCACCGACCAAAGATGTATATATATTAAATTAAGGCTGGGACGAGTCCAAATTTACTACCCGGATACCCGACCCCCTTATTACCCGACCCTAGCCGGGTACCCACTGCAGGTCTCAAGAGTTGGGAACAAAATGTCTGATTGGGAATTGTTTTACCGCAGCCCTGGCAAAATTATTTAGATACACATGTATCAGTCGATTAGATCATGTGTACACTGAAGTTGACTGAAGCTTTATCTTTACTCAAACATATACATGTCAAAAGTAATGTGTGCATCGTCAGAAAGAAAGAAAGAGTTATATGTGACTAACCACGGGTCAGGGTAGTCCTGTGGGTACCCGGATCCTGCTCAGGACCAACCAGACCCGAGTTAGCTGTCCCAGCCCTTGTATATATGTCTTTGCACCAACTAAACCTGTACATATACCTGTACCTGCCCTAATCTACAGTAACATCATCAGTGTAGGTACGTTTTTATTTATTATCTGATTATGTGTAGCAGGATCATCAACATGTTCCAATCTATAACTTTAGCAAGTCTGAATAGGAGAGTCATATAAGGAAACATTTTATAAGGAGCTGATAACCTTTCAAAAACAAACATGATCTTATACAAAAATATTAGATCAATACTCAGTGATAATTGAACTATGTTTAACTAAGATACCTTAAATCCTCTCTTAACGTTTCATTAAGGAACTTTTCATATTCGACTACTTTGGATTTTCTTTCTGCCATGATTGCATGAAACCTCAATGCATATCACATTTCTTGATATCTTGCTTTGACCATGCCTCAGTGACTAGGACAATCAGTAAAAAGTAGTCAACCCGCAGGTGCTCGTTGCCGAGGGACGGGTTGTTTCTTTATATATTTTTATTCGTTCATTATGATTAACAATGACCATGTAAGTATCTACCCGCCTTATGATATCATATACAGTATTTGTCTTAATTAATAGTGTGAAAAAATGTATCTTTGATAATCAACTTATTAATATTCTATTATGCTAATGTATTTTAATTCATAGAAATGAACAGTCCCTGATACCCGACGTCACTTCCTCTGAAAATCAACATGGCGGAGCTGCTGCTTGATTCCAACATTAGAGTTTGGGTTTTCTTACCTATAGTTTTAATCACATTTCTGATTGGCATAATTAGACATTATGTGACAATTTTGATATCCTCAGAAAAGAAGTCCGAATTACAGCAAGTATCTGACAGGTATGTCGGAATGGATATAGCTAATTTGTTTCGCCGGTTTACGGACGTGCAGCTACAGCTCATATTTGCGAATATAAATTTTGGCATCGGTACAAAAGTTCAGACTTTCAGACGAAAATTCAATTTTTTTGGCAATACTGCAGGGTTACTGGGTAAGACTGCAGATTACCGGGCGCAGCTTAAAGCGCTAATTGGCGACTTGATTAGACTCCTCTCTGTGGCACGCGTGCCTCGTTGATCCTGCCTTAGGGTTAGGCACAGGATCATTTAACTAATAATAATAAACAAATTCGCAAAAAACTCGTAGACGAGGCACATGGTCCTGTGGGTTAGGGTATACTACACCCAGCCATAGGACCACATCACTACAATTCTATAATTGTTATTATAGAATTGTATATGGGTAGTACTGTGCCCCAACTCTACTCTTAGACCTTGGATTCCTTTTCTGACCCAGTTCCCTTGGCGATCTTTAGGGTTAGGTATTCCAATAAAACACACCTTCACGGTCCTTAGGGTTGAGTTCCCCTTGCCAAATAAAACAACCCTTTACGACCCTTCAGTTTAGGCGTTAGCTAGTTCACCGCTGTCAACACGTTAATCCAATATAATTTAGTGTAACAATACTAACATGCATTATGTGTGATTGTGCACAAGCCCCCCGTTGCTTTTAAATCCGAAAAAATGCACTTGGTAAAGTGCAGTACTCCCTAGGGTTTATTCATCCTATGACAACAACAACAATCTAAAATCAGTTTATATTCATGTCAAACATGTTTAATTTATGCGAAGCTAGTTACCGTTTTGTTTGGTGCTGTTTATGCTATAGCCCTATGATCCAAGGATTTGTATGTAGGAAACCTTTTTGCCAACTTCATGATCATAGTCATGATTTTATAAGCTTTATGCATACACAGTGCTTTATTAATTGTTTGCTTTCTTACAGCCATGCACTCATCAGAAGCAGAATACTGAGAGAAAATGGAAAATATATACCAAAACAGGTAACTTATGTTGTTGCAGAAAACTTATTCTATTATTTCACTTCCCAACTTGAACATTGTTGAAAATGATGAAGTAATAAATTTCATAATTATATGCATAATTATTGTTCTGTTTTCCAGTCATTCTTGGTTCGTAAGAATTTCTTCAACAATGCTGAAAAGGGATTCTTCAAAACAGAAAAAAGGGAAGCCCAGGTCAAGAATCCTATGACAGGTAAACTTGGTCATGTCGTGCTAGAGCTCTGTGTTATACATGTAGTGTAGGAAGACATTGACATGTAAAAGCATTGGGGGGGTAAATGAAAAGAATCTCTTTAAGTATTCACTTATTATCTTGATTTAATCCTGTAAAGTAATAAACACAATTATTATTAAATTGATCCTGAAACATCATTTAATCATATCACATTGTACATGACTCAAGTGTGAAATACATGAAACTGAAGCTTCATCATGTTAATCATACCTTTATCAGACCCGACAATGATGACAGACATGATGAAAGGCAACATCACCAATGTTCTTCCTATGATTGTCATCGGGGGCTGGATCAACTGGGCTTTTTCAGGATTCTTGACCAGTAAGTAGACTAGACCCTTTTTGATGACCAAACAGTCTCTCCATATACAATGTATAATCATTGAAAATAAATCTTATCTTTATCACATTCCGAGTAGAACTGGTACAAGGGTTATTAACGAGGGAGTATGGGTTTACACCACTTTTAGAAACATTCCCTTCATGTCATATCAGAGGAACATCAGAAATGGTCTGTACACATTGTCCCCCTTCTCAGGAATCAAACCAAGCACATGACATGACAAGTCATGGCTTTTCCCCTTGTGCCACCACTCAGGGTTATTAGTAATCTGGTACTACTGTAATGCATTTTTCAGCTATAGATATTATATAATAGTTTCGATCAATTCCCTTATAAGTTATATTTTATATGAAGTTTGTTTACTTTTAAAATTTGTTTGAATTGGTAGCATATTTTTCTATCTTAGTATCTATTACATTTTAGTGTTTATTGTTAAAGTGATAGGTATAGGTATATTTTCAGTAACGTAGCTATTTATATATAGGGGTTAATAATAAGCATGAAAAGCAGACAAGAGAATATTTTGTTCAACTTAATTTACTTTTTGAAGAGGGGGTGGTCAGGTAGCCTAGTGGTTAAAGCAATCACTCGTCACGCTGAAGACCCGGGTTCGTTTCCCGACATGGGTACAATGTGTGAAGCCCATTTCTGGTGTCCCCCGTCTGATATTGCTGTAATATTGCTCACTCACTTACTTTTTGAAGAAGACATGAAATAAACAGAAGAAAATGCCTGTTCAGTATCTTGTGCTTGTGTTTTATTTTTAACATTTATACATGAACACGAATGTTGACTATTGTTGACAGTGGTTGATGCATTGAAATTTAACCAAGTGTCATCTGCTTACAGCAAAGGTTCCCTTCCCTCTAACGCTGAGATTTAAGCCAATGTTGCAGCGAGGAGTAGAGCTGGCCTCTCTCGACGCTTCATGGTAAGTGAGGATTCTGTGCCCTGTGTTCATGGTGTAAGAAGATCTCAAATGTAATTTATTTTAGTGCTCCCCTTTTCTTGCAAGATGAACCTGATGACATTAATGTGGTTTTCAGATTTAACTTTAGCAGTGTACAACATTTAGCTTGAAAGTAATAGGGCCCTTGTCATAACCCTTATTTTTTAAATGAAACTTGAGGGGCCTCTAGATGCTGATACAATAGCAGCAAACCTCAAGGACTCCCAAGGTGAGGTGAAATGTTGCATCCAAGATTATTGCACTTATAGCGACGTGTGTGCGTGTGCGTGTGAGTGTGCGTGCTTGTACTAGTTCGGACTGATGCCGATTTATAGTGCTAGGCCACCGAGATACCATGAAGCAGTTTAACATGAATAACCCACTCAGACATGGTATACTGACTTCGAGCTAACCAGTCCTTGTTTTAGCCCCTTAATGCTGAGCGCCAGACAGGGTAACAACAAGTACCATCTTTTAGTGTCTTTTGGTATGACACAGCCGGGATTAAAATCCGGACCTTCCGCTCTCCGGGCGGACACTCTACCACCAGAACATAGAGGCAGTCCAAGGACTCCCAAGACCATGTTAATATTGAATAGTGTATAGGATAGTGAAATGAAGACTTGGGATGCACTCATATAGATCCTGATAAATGTTAGTACCTTTTAATAATTTCCTGCTGCTATATTGGACCTGATTTAAGTAACACTAGTGATGTGCTGTTGATGTGTTGCAGGGTGAGCTCTGCCTCATGGTATTTCCTCAATGTGTTTGGGTTGAGGAGTATGTACACCCTTATACTTGGTCAAGACAATGGTAACTATGATCTTTATTGTTATTTGTTTCTTCACTACATGTTGTATGTATTCAGGGATGGAAATGAACCAAGAATGTCTGCTAGTGATAACATATAGCAATACCCCCCAAATGTTTGAATTTCTACTAATGCTTAGGATGCCTTTAATATTAACAAAACTGGTCCAGGCTAGCAGGCTAGTGCTAATTTGCATCCCTGAACATGAACGGCTTGGGTTGTCCAGAAACTATTTTGAACACTGCACTATATGTTGCCATATTTTTTACCAGGATCTAGACTGTGTAAATAACTATGTGTGAAACTGGGACACTGTGTCAGTATAAATTTTCAGGTAATCATAGACACGTGGGTTGATGTCCTCATCGTGGAACAATAAGAATGGGATAAAATGGTGATTCAGGGATTCTTTTTAAATCTGTGAGGACTGCATAATAGCCAAAAGCCTAGTTGCCGATACTCCCCCAAAAGCCATGGAATGTTTTTGAAAAATGTTGATTACCATTTACCTATTGCCTGTTGCCAGCTGCTGACCAGACAAGAGTTATGCAGGAGCAGATGTCAGGGTCGGCCATGATGGCACCTCCGGACCCCATGAAGGCCTTCAAGGCCGAGTGGGAGGCCCTGGAGGTGTGTACTCATGACTGGATGCTGGAGGCGGTGGAGGAGGAGCTCACAGGGGGCATCATCCAGCCAGAAACTATATACATCAAAAACAAATTTGCATAATCATTATCATTGAGCTATGTATTGATGTAAGTCATAAATTTTGTTCGTAAAAACAATTCATTTCTGATATTCTGACACTATACTAAGGATATCTTTGTACCATTTGTTGTTTAGTGTATAGAGGAATAAGATAAAAATACAGACTTGATGTCAATATTGATATACTTGTGTCATTTATATGCTGTTACTGTGTATTTATCTCGAGTTTCCTTGTCATCCTACACTCCTCGTAGTTGTGCTCGGAAACAGGTGCCCCAGTCACCTAAGTCGTTGATTATTTACAAGTCGCTATGATATAATTGGAATATTGCTGACTGTGGCATCAAATAAGCATAAATAGCATATAAAGATTCACCATACATCATGCATGTTATAACATAGTTTACTGTATCAGTTGTTTGGGATGGTGGCACAGTAGCCAAGTCATCTAAGGCTCTGCAGTTTGCTGTGCAGAGTTACATCCCTTGGGTGCCAGAAACCTGCGATGCTGGGTTTGAATCTCTGTACGCCCTGATTATCTGTCTAGGTTTGTAGAAGTATACCCATGCTTGTGGATTGCACCAAAGTGGTTAATGTCTAAGACCTGCATCACTTTGAGTTTTTCTCTCTCATCAAGCTGACATGCAGTGATATGACTGATACAGTTTAAAGTGGCGTTGAACTCAACTCACTCATAGTTCTGCTGCATGTATTGGTGTGAATGTTCAGAGCAGCTGCTCTCAAATCTCTGTGTACCATCCTCATCCATGATAAACAAACCTTTCAGTTCTTCACACTAGAAGAATGAAAATAATATTTGTTTGGGAGAAGGAATGCTTGCACTGGTGTTTCACTTATGTGTGTCTGGGAAACCAATGTTTGTTTACATCATGCATTGTTATTTCTGAGGATGGGGAGTGATGTTTGTAGTCCTTGTTTGTATCATTATTCAGACTTGAGGAATGTAAAGAAAAGTGTGACTGTCAAGGAATGAGCAGTACTTCTTTTTTCCCTTTGTGTAATAAAAGTTCTCAAACAGGTTTCAGTGTTGAGTTATATGTGAAGCATGTTCTGTTATGGATTGCTTTGTTTTTAGGGTTGATGATACAAATATTACTATGACCTTACATTGTTTAGGACAATATAACTGTTTCTAACGTTTGGGCCACAACTTACTAATTATTTGTTTCTTGGAATTGATGCATCCATGCTTCAATTTCTATCTGTCTCATTGTCTTCCTTATCTGATAGGTTTGCAACACAGGTGTAGGACTTAAATAGAAACTCTGAAAGCTGAACAAACAGATTGAATAATAGCTTATCCTTGATATCCCACCAGTCCATGAGATGCTGACGTCTGACACCATGACAGTTATAGACATATGGGTCATGAAATCTTGGAGAAGCCATGGAATTGTAGTTTTGAGTTTCCAAATCTAGGATTAGTTTTGGAAAATATTCTTTTATTAAATCGTAAAAGAGTCATGAAGAGTATGGGTCATGAAATCTTGGAGAAGCCATGGAATTGTAGTTTTGAGTTTCCAAATCTAGGATTAGTTTTGGAAAATATTCTTTTATTAAATCGTAAAAGAGTCATGGCAAAATATAATAATTAATAATACATATTTTGACCAAAGTAAGAAGTTTGAATTAAGTGAGTTAAGTTGGTTATTTTGTCTGGATTTTCATTGATATAATATAATTGAAAACTGGCATCATACCTTGGAAAAGTCATGAACATTTGTCAGACTTGTAGTGATGAATGAACCCTGACAACCCTATCTTCCAAACCAGTAAACTAAGGACAGTAAACAAAATTGTCACTTTCTTGACCTCCACAAAATATGTTGGTATAGGAAACAGTGGAGGGTTTGCCCCAGGCAACCAGGAAGGTTGAATTTCTGTTGGCCCCGCCCCTCCAATGTTACTTCGTGGGGACAGTGTAAACATAGTTACCTGACAATCAATGAGAAAGGCTGTCGAAGGGCGATTATTTTATCCGCTATATAGCCAATATTTGCTCAAACCAACACATAAACATCCATACACCCACACACAGGATTCACCCACTTATAAGTCTGATAGTGGTAGACACGACCTCATGCGTATATAAATAGATTTCTATTACTTCCACTCGGAGAGGTTGAGTCCTTCCCCCTGTCCTATAATACTGCAACAAGCGAGGTGAAACAATCTTCACTTCTCTGCTGTTATCTTACTGTGTGTCATGTCTACCACTGGTTAGACTAGATTATCGCGATAACAGCTGGAATATTGCGGACTGGCGTCAATTAACATTCACTCATGTTCGTCCACACGCAAGAGGTGATGTCACATTATAAGACATACTTAAAAGCTATATTTAATCAAACCAACCACAATTTTTTCATTTTTCATGAAGATCCGGTTTAGAATAGGTCTTCAACGACCCATGCTTGCCGTAAAAGGCGACTATGTTTGTAAGAGGCGACGAATTGGATCGGGTGGTCAGGTTCGCTGACTTGGTTGATGCGCGTCATCGTATCCCAATTGCGTGGGTCGATGCTCAGGATGTCAATCACTGGATTGTCTGGTCCAGACTCGATTATTTACAGACCGCCACATGTAGCTGGAATATTGTGCTGAGTGCGGCGTTTTATTGCACGATAAACAATTCCCTCTCGTCGTTTATTTCTTAAATATATGAGTAAACATCACAACACAACAAACACTGGTCTGTGCTGCGTTTTTCAACAAACAAACAAATTAAATGAAATGATACAACTGGACGGCTCGGAGTCAGTATGAAGTGTCTGAGTGGATTACGGACTGGTACAAGCAGCCACACAGACACGTGCACATCGTTACATGAGTGTAATCATCTTCGAAGTGACGTTTACCGCAATTTCACCAAGTCACCATTGTGTTACAATGGATACCCTAAACCCATTCGTCATCATAACTTCGTTTCGTAGAAAGTCAACACAGAAATTCTCTCGTCCGTGACGGTTGTTTTTAGCGTCGTGGCATTAATGTCGGTCTCAAGACGAAGCTGTCCGACATGGTACACTGGATAATCGACGGTGGTGTTTCTCTGACTAAATTAGCTACTTTGGCCAGTTGATTGACTAACATCACAGATGAACAGATATGATGAGACTGCATCGCACAGAATGATGTTATATATTATTATTTTGTAAACCGTTTGTTCGTTACATCTCTTTTTAAAGATCATACAACTGAAACCAGCAGAGAGATTTTCATTTTGATTTAAAACAAACTACAAGCTACCCCTACCCCTTATTTTTAAAAGACAGTACGAGTACAGATAATTACACTCATGTAGCGATGTGCACGTGTCTGTGTGGCTGCTTGTACCAGTCCGGAACCCACTCAGACACTTCATACTTCAAACTACAAGCTATCCCTACCCCTAATTTTTAAAAGACAGTACAAGTATAGCTTGTGAGTTCACATAATTTAGGGCATTTTATGAAATGTAAAAACATAACGTATCCGTGTTGTCTGTGTCACGTGTTGAGTTGTGGCTGATTGTAAAGAGCATCTTCAAATTGTGATTATGTGTAATGATAAAGATGCAACCTTTTATTGGGGTCCTATTTCCCACTTTCGTTGGTAACGTGTCAGTTCTGCAAACTGGAGACATGCACCTAGCTTTGTTCTTGAAACGTAATGAGTTTGAGACAAGAAAACCGATATGTGCGTAACTTCTCTTCATGTTCAAACCAACATTTGGGATTCCGTTAAAGATGCAAGTATCTATTTATTAGAAGTTCTCATGAAGTATAGAAAATAAACCTAGATCTATCTCATTTTAGATATAATTTAAAGACATTCAGTTGGCGTACTGAAGCTCTAGTGTTACCAAATCATATGTTGTGACAAAAATATATGCCTAAGGGGTGAGTTGAGTACTCATTGGCTCCATTGTAACTAACGGTATAAACAGATGACTGGAGCATGAAATTAGTTCAATTTACACACTAAGTCTTAGTGGAGAATGAACCAAAATCGACGTAAAACCCAAACTCACTCACTCACTCACTAACTCACTCACTAACTCACACAATCATACATACCAATTTTAATTATCATATTTACATTCATTCATTCATTCATAATTTACACTGTATAATCGTTATCGGCGAACATACAATATAAACGGTGAGTTATAAAATGGAAACAATTTGGGTGGGTGTCGATGCGTCACCTATATCTTTGTGTTGATGTAATAAGTTCGTAAACTCTTAACATGATATTTTCATAGGCGCTTCATCGTGTCTTCACACACTGGTTCGCGGTATGGAGCTTTCATCCCGGAAGCGAAAGCCAGTCCTGACCTTTACCTTGATCAGTACTACTGTGATGGCACTCTGTCTACAAGGCTAAATTAGAGGGGAAATACTCGACTGTATCGTTGGCAGATTTCGGTCGGAGTGGATAATGATGAGACCAGAAAAGAAATAACGTTACCAGGAGGTGTTACAGCCGTAATCAATGTGAGTGGATTCAGGACAACTTGTTCACCGTCCATAACGGGAGTCGTGCTTGTCCATCAGTGAGACAAGATATTATGTCATTGCTTACCAAAGTTGTCTTTCATTATCAGATTCATGTATGTTTTGATCTTTATAATGATAGTATCAAATGATCACATTTTTTTTTTATTATTCAAGTAAACATGACATGTTCACATATGATGTCGAAATACATTGATTACATTATTTCCTTTTGAGGTGTATCGGCCCCAGTGGTCTTGTGCCAGTGTTCAGTGTAGGACTAGATGTAGCGTGCGCCATGCAATTTACATATAGAGAAAACAGTGCCTTATTACCCAAATATGTATCTAATGTGTATGTGTATTTACTATATTTAGCACCAGGGAATATTTAACTGTGTCCCTATGGGTTTTACAAGCTATGGTAAAACAACTTGTATACACCATGTACACCAGCGTAAGTGAAAGATTGATCAAAGTTTTACTGTAAAAGTGTAACAAAAATCACAATGAAATGCTGCTCACTCCTACATACAAAATGTAAGACAGTGTTTGCATTAAAACGAATGATTTGAAACAAACAAAAGTTGTTTGAAGAATAAATGTTATTTCAAAACTCAAACACATTAATTTTACTGAAGGAATTATTACTGCCTGCAGACTAAAGGCCGTAAGAGGCCGTAAGAGGCCCTACTGAGTAAAATTACTACCCCCAGTAAAAGTGGTTGCTTGTGGGGTTATTGTCTTCAATATTGCTCCCTTCCCAGAAGCCAGTTTGCTTGTTGTAACGGTTGATGGCCATGCTTGGTGACTTGCTGATTGCTATCGATCCCTGATGGCATGGATCACTGCTTGGGGCTGAAAACTGGTCTCTGAGCAGGTCTATATAAATTACTGATGTGTGATAACGGAATCCACCTTTTAAGCAGAGTGTGGAAAAAAGTTGTTTTGATGAATATTGATCAAACTTAATATTTGATTAGTGTGGTATCCATTTTGCCAAGTCACATTGCCCATTTATTCCAAATATATGATTGAGGGATAAAAATGATGCAAAGAGAAGTATTTTTAAGTATTCATAAGTCACATATATTTCTGGATCCAATCCTACTTAACCTATGTTTTTCTATCAATCAGATTGTAGTGGTACACTTTAGAAATACTTCTGGGCTAGAAAAGCTAGGTCCCAGCCCTTGCTTGTCTTATGAGATGACTTAGCAGAGTGGGCACTAAGACTTAGTGACTAAGTTAATAGGGTCTGATATGGGACGTTGCTCATAATATCAATCACTGGTTTGTCTTGTTCAGACTCCATTATTTGAAGGCTGTCATGATAAGGCTGGAACGTTGCTAACTATGGTATTAGACAACAAAGAAAGAACTATTATTTGACATGATAATTCATGAGCCACATTCCTACCATGTCTGTCACTATCTTTCCTTCAAATCTCAGTTATAATATTGCTGTAATCATGGTAATATTGGGCTCAATTCACTCTCCTTTAGATCCATTTGACATGTCTTCAATATCATTATATCAATGCTACTAGATGACATCCTCATCATCATCATCATCGTCGTCCTCTGTCCTGCGGGGGTCCAACAACTTCGTATGGGACCTGAGCCGACCGCTGGGTCAGGGGGCCACCAGCATGGTCTACAGTGGCAGGAACAAGGTAAATACTGTCTGTTGGGCTATGGCCATCATGCTTACCCCTGGTGAAAACAGGGATTTATGAACATAGAAGTCAGACTTGGTTGTTGCATGTCATCGTTTCCCAATTGCGTAGATTGTCCAGACTCAATATTTACATGCTGTCATAGATGGAATATTGTTCAGCGTTAAACAAACAAACAGACTAACGAACAAACCATTCTTAAGTATCTAGTGTATTACCCAGTATATTTTGATAAATTCCCTAGGCCAATTCACACTATAGCTGCATTCTTAGAATCTTAAGTCCAGTTCAAATGACAGGATGCTAGGAATAGCCATCCAATCAAATTAACCTATTTTTTCATGATTGACACATCACCTGTACCTGTCTCCTCTTGTTGGATATCGCCTCCAGGACACCTAGGATTGGCTGAGAGTATAAGGACTTACCTGCCTCAGTCTTAATACTCAGGGAAACCGTATTCCAGTGCAAACATCATGATATTTCTGATTTGATGAAGCTTGCGGAGGACTCGCTCACACAGTTTTGGAATCTATCTGAACTGTTCAGAAGAGTTCATTTGTTGATTTCAAGCTTTCGGACAAGAGACAACAAAATTGGAAGAGATGGTATCGTCACTTCTTTAAAACTGTTTGCTCTTCACACTGAAGAACCAGGTTGGATTCCCCACATGGGTACAATGTGTGAAGCCCATTTCTGGTGTCCCCCAACAGGATATTGCTGGAATATTGCTTAAGGCAGCGTAAAACCATACCCACTCCCTCACTCACTCAAATGGGTCATGGGTATTTATGATAATAGAATGTAGAAATAATATGCTGGACAAGCTAGGATACTTGAATTCCAGCGTGAAGTCATGTTACATATTGTAATAGTGCCATGTACTGTTTCTCCTGTCATCATCAGATTGATCACGTTGAAGATACGCTCACCTGGCTCACCTGGCTTACCTGACAATAATTGTGACTTGGGCCACAATTTGATATTAATTCAACTGCATCCAAATGTTAATAAAACATCAGACAGGGTTTTTTATTAGAATATATATATTTTTTATCTTAAACTTTTCAAGGCTTCTGTACACATTAACTGTCAACAGGTGTGATTGTATAGAGCATGAGTATTCAGTAGGACTGTGTACCGTAAATCTTGACATAAATGCGCCTCTAAATTAATGCAACTGCTGCATCCTAGCCAAAAATGCAACTCAATATCAATGCAAAGTCTCTCCCCCCTCCTTCCAACCCAAGCAGATTTTTAGAAAGAGATACTGACTTTTGTCCACCCGGGGCTTGATCCCCGGCTGCGTCATACCAAAAGATGTTAAAAGATGGTACATGTTGTTACCCTGCCTGGCACCTGGCACTCGACATTATGGGGCTAAAACTAGGACTGGTCGGCTAAGATTCAGTATACTGTGTCTGAGTGGGGTATTCATGTTAAACTGCGGCATTCTATCTCAGTTGGCTGGCACTAGTACAAGTAGCCACACACACTTACACATGCATGCACATCGCTATAGAAGTGCAGTAATCTTGGACACAACCTAAGCCCCATTTCTCCTCACCTCACCTATTGATGACTTGAAATAGGGCTGTGACAAGTCCAAATTTACTACCCGGGTACCCAGTGTAGGTCTCAAGGGTTGGTAACAAACAAAAATGTCTGATTGGGAATTGTTTTACCGCAGGCCTGGCCAAAACTATTTAAATACATGTATGAAACAATCAGATCATGCATATACTGATGTAGACTTAAGCTTTATCTTTACTCAGAAATGCAAACGTAAGCGTCATGTAGTTTGTTTGTTTGTTTGTTTGTTTGTGGTTTAACACCACACTCAGCAATATTCCACCTATATGACAGTGGTCTGTAAATAATCGAGTCTGGACCAGACAATCAAGTGATTGATAACATGAGCATCGATCCACACAATTGGGACGCGATGACATGCATATCAACTTGTATTGTAACCACTGAGCTATAGTGAGTTTTTGTCTTTAAACAATATATCACATGACTAACCATGGGTCTGGGTAGTCCTGTGGGTACCCGGGTCCTACTCAGTACCCACCCGACCCAAGTACCCAAGTTACCTGTCCCAGCCCAACCTTGAAACAGTTGACAGAGAATGTATCATAAATGCCAAGCTTTTCATCGTATGATGGAGGGGCAATGGGGCAGCCTAAGGATGGCCATCCATTAATTCATTCATTTATTATGGCATTACATATAAACTATGACTTAAATCTAAGTAAGTAACTTACATATGGTTAGCATGGTTAGAAGATTTGAAACTAATGTGTATGATTGTCCAGGGATTCAGATATGGTGGAAGAATGTGTGCAGTTTTCTGCTGTCAAGATAATGTATCTTATCAGGTTATAGAGAAAGGGGAATGATTGTATCCTTATGTGGTCAAGAGGCCAATCTGAGTGACAAAAGCTGTACTGTTTGAAGGAGTGACAAATGTATGATCTTCAACTATATTTTGCCATGTACAACAGTTGTTGAAACTGATTATAGCTTGACAATAATTGCCTGTATTGTCATGGTTACAGAGGACGGGGGATGCTGTGGCTGTGAAAGTGTTCAACGCCTCAAGTTACCAGCGTCCTGCACAGGTCCAGTTCAGGGAATATGAGGTCATGAAGAAACTAAATCACGAAAACATTGTCAAGTTCCTGGCAGTGGAAGAGGAGGTAGGGATGATCTCACAGAACATAATGGAAACTGACTCCGTTCCTACCTTCTGATTGACTGTGTACCTGTATCTGATTGACTGTGTACCTGTATCTGATTGACTGTGTACCTGTATCTGATTGACTGTGTACCTGTATCTGATTGACTGTGTACCTGCATCAGATTGACTGTGTACCTGCATCTGATTGACTGTGTACCTGCATCTGATTGACTGTGTACCTGTATCTGATTGACTGTGTACCTGTATCTGATTGACTGTGTACCTGTATCTGATTGACTGTGTACCTGCATCTGATTGACTGTGTACCTGCATCTGATTGACTGTGTACCTGTATATGATTGACTGTGTACCTGTATCTGATTGACTGTGTACCTGTATCTGATTGACTGTGTACCTGTATCTGATTGACTGTGTACCTGTATCTGATTGACTGTGTACCTGTATCTGATTGACTGTGTACCTGTATTTGATTGACTGTGTACCTGCATCTGATTGACTGTGTACCTGTATATGATTGACTGTACCTGCATCTGATTGACTGTGTACCTGTATCTGACTGACTGTGTACCTGTATCTGATTGACTGTGTACCTGTATCTGACTGACTGTGAACCTGTATCTGATTGACTGTGTATCTGTATCTGATTGACTGTGTACCTGCATCTGATTGACTGTGTACCTGTATCTGATTGACTGTGTACCTGTATCTGATTGACTGTGTACCTGAATCTGACTGTTTGTGTACCTGTATCTGACTGACTGTGTACCTGTATCTGATGGACTGTGTACCTGCCCTGTATTGACTGTTTACCTGTATCTGACTGACTGTGTACCTTTATCTGACTGACCGTGTACCTGTATCTGATTGACTGTGTCCCTGTATATGATTGACTGTGTACCTGTATCTGACTGACTGTGTACCTGTATCTGATTGACTGTGTCCCTGTATCTGATTGACTGTGTACCTGTATCTGACTGACTGTGTACCTGCATCTAATTGACTGTGTCCCTGTATCTCGTGGACTGTGTACCTGTATCTGATTGACTGTGTACCTGTATCTGACTGACTGTGAACCTGTATCTGACTGACTGTGTACCTGTATATGATTGACTGTGTACCTGTATATGATTGACTGTGTACCTGTATCTGATTGACTGTGTCCCTGTATATGATTGACTGTGTACCTGTATCTGATTGACTGTGTACCTGTATATGATTGCCTGTGTACCTGTATCTGATTGACTGTGTCCCTGTATATGATTGACTGTGTACCTGTATATGATTGACTGTGTACCTGTATCTGATTGCCTGTGTCCCTGTATATGATTGACTGTGTACCTGTATCTGACTGACTGTGTACCTGTATATGATTGACTGTGTCCCTGTATATGATTGACTGTGTACCTGTATATGATTGACTGTGTACCTGTATCTGACTGACTGTGTACCTGTATCTGATTGACTGTGTCCCTGTATATGATTGACTGTGTACCTGTATCTGATTGACTGTGTACCTGTATCTGATTGACTGTGTACCTGCATCTGATTGACTGTGTACCTGCATCTGATTGACTGTGTTACAATATATGATTGACTGTGTACCTGTATATGATTGACTGTGTACCTGTATCTGATTGACTGTGTACCTGTATCTGATTGACTGTGTACCTGCACTGTATTGACGGTGTACCTGCACTGTATTGATTATGTACCTGTATCTGATTGACTGGGTACCTGCCCTGTATTGACCGTGTACCTGTATCTGATTGACTGTGTACCTGTACTGTATTGACTGTGTACCTGTATCTGATTGAGTGTGTACCTGCACTTTATTGACTGTGTACCTGCATCTGATTGACTGTGTACCTGCATCTGATTGACTGTGTACCTGCATCTGATTGACTGTGTACCTGCACTGTATTGACTGTTTACCTGTATCTGATTGACTGTGTAACTGCATCTGATTGACTGTGTACCTGCATCTGATTGACTGTGTACCTGCCCTGTATTGACTGTGTACCTGCACTGTATTGACTGTGTACCTGCCCTGTATTGACTGTTTACCTGTATCTGATTGACTGTGTACCTGTATCTGATTGACTGTGTACCTGTATCTGATTGACTGTGTACCTGTATCTGATTGACTGTGTACCTGCACTGTATTGACCATGTACCTGCACTGTATTGACTGTTTACCTGCACTGTATTGACTGTTTACCTGTATCTGATTGACTGTGTACCTGCACTGTATTGAGTGTGTACCTGCCCTGTATTGACTGTGTACCTGCACTGTATTGACCGTGTACCTGCACTGTATTGACTGTGTACCTGCACTGTATTGACTGTGTACCTGCACTGTATTGACTGTTTACCTGTATCTGATTGACTGTGTACCTGCACTGTATTGACTGTGTACCTGCACTGTATTGACTGTGTACCTGCACTGTATTGAGTACACCTGTGTTCCAGCAAACCTCCTACCAGAAGGTGCTAGTGATGGAGCTCTGCCCACATGGGAGTCTCTTCACGCTGCTGGAGGAACCAGATAATGGCTTTGGGCTTTCAGAAGAGGAATTCCTGCTGGTGCTGATGCATGTCTGTGAGTCAACTTCCTAGACCACAATCTAACCCAGCATAGACAGGGTGCTGAAACATGTCTATTTCAGATTCTCACCCATCATAGACTTGGAGCTGAAACAGGCTAATAAGTCAGAATCTCACCCAGCATAGACTTGGAGCTGAAACAGGCTAATAAGTCAGAATCTCATCCATCATAGACTTGGAGCTGAAACAGGCCAATAAGTCAGATCTCATCCATCATAGACTTGGAGCTGAAACAGGCCAATAAGTCAGAATCTCACCCAGCATAGACTCGGAGCTGAAACAGGCCAATAAGTCAGATCTCATCCATCATAGACTTGGAGCTGAAACAGGCCAATAAGTCAGAATCTAATCCAGCATAGACTTGGAGCTGAAACAGGCCAATAAGTCAGAATCTCACCCGGCATTGACTCGGAGCTGAAACAGGCCAATAAGTCAGAATCTCACCCAGCATAGACAGGGTCCTGAAACATGACTGTAACTCAGAATCTCACCCAGCATAGACAGGGTGCTGAAACATGTCTGTAGGTCACCTTGTGAGAGCAAGGACAGGGTCCTGAAACATGTCTGTAGGTCACCTTGTGAGAGCATGGACAGGGTCCTGAAACATGTCTGTAGGTCACCTTGTGAGAGCATGGACAGAGTGCTGAAACATGTCTGTAGGTCACCTTGTGAGAGCATGGACAGGGTCCTGAAACATGTCTGTAGGTCACCTTGTGAGAGCATGGACAGGGTCCTGAAACATGTCTGTAGGTCACCTTGTGAGAGCATGGATAGGGTCCTGAAACATGTCTGTAGGTCACCTTGTGAGAGCATGGACAGGGTCCTGAAACATGTCTGTAGGTCACCTTGTGAGAGCATGGACAAGGTGCTGAAACATGTCTGTAGGTCGCCTTGTGAGAGCAAGGACAGGGTGCTGAAACATGTCTGTAGGTCACCTTGTGAGAGCATGGACAGAGTGCTGAAACATGTCTGTAGGTCACCTTGTGAGAGCATGGACAAGGTGCTGAAACATGTCTGTAGGTCGCCTTGTGAGAGCAAGGACAGGGTGCTGAAACATGTCTGTAGGTCGCCTTGTGAGAGCATGGACATCACTAATGTTGGACAGGGTGACAATGGACTGGTTTCAGATATCCGTCAGTCAATAAGAGTACACAAGGCATGAAACTAATGATTACTGTGTCTCTCCCAACACTTGCATACTTTTGTCACAAGTAGATTTTGCAAATTGTTCTATTTGTAAGTGTTATTTATAAAAAGAAATTATGCAAAACATTTACCAGCATGCAATGTCTTCTTTCCTTCAGACTGAGTGCACTGTAGAATTGTCAATAAGATGTTGGTTTACCATGTGTGTGTGTGTCAGTAGCAGGGAGTGATGGTTGTGGTGTAATTCTGCAGCTCTGGGCATGAAGCACCTGCGGGACCTGGATGTGGTGCACAGAGACATAAAACCAGGGAACATCCTCAGGCACATCGGAGAAGACGGCAGGTGAGACCCCAGGCTGTAGTGGGTGTCACCACTGTCTGACACCCCTACACAGTTAGCTCTACACTCTCAGTCACCATGGCTACTGGACCATGTGGACTGTGATCTCATCTGGATAGTCTTAGAGTAATGCCTACCCAATGTTGTCAAATAACTGGATAACAACACTGTTTGTATTCATATTATGCACTGAACAAAAGAAATGTACTGTTCAGAATGTCCACTCTTAGCAACATATGTCTCGCAAGACAGTTTTTGTATCGATGTCATGACGATACATCAGTGCCTAGCCATGTTATCAGGTCTGTGTTGCTATGGTGCAAAAAGGAAATGAAAAATAAAGGATCAGGATGTCGACTAGTAGTGGTGCATCGGTGGAACACAATTTTGTACTTCTCGATACAAGTATTGATCACAATCACACACGAAGCAAAAAGTTCTTCCCTTAAATGTATTCTTTAATAAATGTTACACCAAACACTAATTACCAGTTCAAATGAGTAGTGAAAACATAAATATTTTCATCCATTGCTCCATACTTAACACCGCCAACTGTAAATCGTTAGTGTGCCAGGTATTTGGCCATCCTGTATATGAAAAAGATGGCTTATGCACCACAGATGGGGCACACATAAGTATCGTGATACGTTTTGGATCGTTAGTAAGGTATTGTGATACATATTCAATCACACATTTGATGCCCACTTTAATGTGGACAGTTCTTGGTGCTTTTGTCTCATGCAAGTAATACTTTCTGAATGTGACGTCAAACCTTTACGATTCAATTCCCAAACCAAAACATTAGGGCTTCGGCCATGTTTTTATTGGATGACTTTCAAAATACTACTTGCCAGCTTGATTGTGTATTAAAGCCTACATTATAATAGAAATGCCTCGGTCGGATGAAGCCAGAAACAAGGCAGTGGTACTTCCCGGACAGTAGCTCTTCCCGACCTGCTAGTGATCCTACTCCCATGTTGTGGTCACTGGAGCAGAAACCTCTCTCGCGGAATAAGATAAGCTTGAGATTTACCGGCTATTGTTTGCAAACATCGGCCTGGTGCTTTAAGAATGTTTGGCAAATAGAAAGTCAATTATGTATAATTTGTGTAAGTCAGTTAGGAGGTTAGCTTGTGCTCTGTCACATGACCAATCCATATTGTAGTAAGCTTATGTTCGGATCTAGTTTGAAAGCAGCCTTCAGTGTTAGTGCTCAGTGTAGGAAGAGTCACATCAAGGTGCCTATATTAGCATACAGGGTTTTACCTTGACTTACTAAAGTTTGGGTCCAGGGGACCAGTAATAATTAATTTTAAGGGTCCTTGCAGGCAACATGAGTGTCCTGTAAAGTAATGAAATGGTGTAGTGTTCTGTACATTTACTGTACAGTATATTTTTTTCTGCGTCCATTCTTTACATTTGGGCATGCTGGATGCACATTTGTGCATTGCGTAAAGGACTTAGCATTGGACACTGGTTTCTTGACACCATCTTTGACAGATATTGATGATTACGAGGTCTTTAAAGGAATCTTTTGTGAAGGAAAATCTTGTTTTATTATTTCAATGTTTGTAGTTTTCGGGGTTGTAATGTTAACAGTGTTTGCCGGCAGATCCATTTACAAGCTGACGGACTTCGGTGCAGCACGAGAACTTCACGATGAGGAGCGGTTCACTTCACTGTATGGGACAGAGGAATACCTGGTACAGTGAGGCACACATACTGCAGCATCATCAACAGTGATGCAGTTGTAGTGGCACTTTCCTTTAAGAGTCGGGCCGTTCGGGTAGCCTATTAGTTAAAGCGTTCGCTCACCACGCTGAAGACCTGGGTTCGATTCCCGACATGGGTACAATGTGTGAAGCTCATTTCTTGTGTCCCCCGCCGTGACATAAACCCATACTCACTCACTCTTTTTAAGAGTCAAATTCGAGCGCATAACTAGTACAGACATGTGGAAATTACGATGTTCTAAGATGAAGAACTTTATGTGTATGGCAAATGTATTTAAAACACTTTTTCAATACTATTAAGGATATCTTTTGGTAGGTGCAAATTGTTTTGTATCAGGAGTCTTTTACTTATTTGTTTTTAGTCAATCTGTCTGCAATAAGAAGCAGCATTCCTACAGAGTTAGATATCCAACAAAAGTTAATTAACACTAATGAATGTGACTTGCTTCCTGTTGTCTAGCACCCGGATATGTACGAGAGAGCAGTGCTGAGACGAGGATCTGGACAGAAGTTCTTTAGCACTGTTGACCTGTGGAGCCTGGGAGTGACCCTGTACCACACGGCCACCGGCAGCCTCCCCTTCAGGCCCTTCGGGGGACGTCGCAACAGGGAGACAATGTAATCTTCTGACTTAATCTGGGGCACAGGTTCAATTCCCCACATGGGTACAATATGTGATGCCGATTTCTGGTGTCCCTCACCGTGATATTGCTGAAAGTAGCAGAAAACAATACTCACTCTCTACAGGCTGCTGTGGTATTGCTGACCACAGCATAAGATGAACACAACATGTTGACTGTGAATCCTGGTTTGTACCTCTCATGATGTTGTTGCATCTACTCTGTGTCCTTTACTGAAGAAATTGATATTTTTTGTGGCTCATATTTATGCCTTCAATTCATGTAGAGACACGTTCACACAGATGGCCATGGTTGAGTAGACAAGGAACTGGTGCTCCATTCCTGTGTTCTGTCCCCAGGTACCAGATTACTACGAAGAAGGAATATGGTGTGATATCTGGGGTACAGCGGTGTGAGGGCGGACCGATCGACTGGAACCGAGAACTCCCACAGACGTCACGACTTACAAAGTGAGTCATGATCATATACTAGGGACAATAAGAAACTTTGCATACGAATAAGTAAAATATTAAAGGAAATCTGTCCAAAAACATTGATAGTCATTGCCACATATACAAACAATGAATAATCAGTAAATAATCACTTGTTTCAGCTTGGATAGAAAGGTTTAAAGTGTTTGAGAAGTTTGGCTGGTAAAATGCTTTGAAAAATATTAATTATTTTTATCAAAGCCGTGTCTGTTTTCCAGATATTCATGATGAACTCAGTGTGGGTTGTCATCTGTGTGTACCAGGGGTCCGGAAAATTTATAATCCCAATCGGACATTTGCATTTAGGCCACGCCCCCTTCAAATAGCGTATTTTAGTACGACTTTTCACACACATTACAAGTTTACGTATTCATAATAGGATGAATTATGAATTGTTTCAATTTAAATTGTTTAATTCACCGGACAATTAATAACAAATAATATCATTTTAGATTTACATGGAAAACATACGTTTGTTTCTGTTATAATAACGATCTGTTAACGTAGTGAACGGTCTAATTAATATTCATGAGTTATATTCATGAGTCTGCTCAAGTGTACGCGTTGTAACATTTGGATCGAGACTATTATCCCATATTTGGTTATCACGTGACCTCACGGGATATTTCTTTTTTTATACTAAAGATTTTTTTAAAAACAAGACAGATAATTTAATCACAAATACTAAAATATCGTTGATAGCAATAGTTATTTGAATACTTTTTTCATCTGTACTTATTTATTGACCATAAAAAAAATTGGATATCGATCGTCCGAGAAAGCAAAATGGCGGTCAATCAAGATTCAATTTACGACTAGCTACTGAAAACAATAAAATCTGCAAATCCTCATTGTATGTCAACCAAGTGAAAGTCGTTAGCCACGACTTACAAAATGATCGTCCAGACTTTGAGGGTTTGGCAGATCCGCTCGACTGATCTGCATCGGTTGACTGGCTGTCGTCACGCTTTCGCTTCTTGTCTGAGGTTACGTATCGTAGCATTGTGAGGATAATGAGGTACATCGATGATGCAAGGTATTAATGTACAGTTGTAAACACCTTTCACTCAAATTAACAAGATGTTCTCAGTAATTAATCCTCGATTAATCAGTGTCAACTCAGTTTATTGTCTATTACAGTGATTGACCGATTGGACTATCATGTAGGTACGATGTATTTACAGCAATCAAAACAAACAAAGCTTGTCAGTGTAGTTAATCTTCATTGTGTTGCAACTGCAGACAGAAACTGCTCAGTCCTAACTGTTGATCATGTCCGGTCAAAATTTAAGAATGTCCGGACAATACTTTTTAAAATGTCCGGTAAGCAATATTTTAAAACGTTTCGAGATTCCCAATCGGACATGTCCGGCGCATATGACGGTTTCCGGACCCCTGGTGTGTACATGTACCTCTGGGATTGGGACTTATCTGGGTAGCAGACATGTCAGCTGTGGTTGTCTTAACCAGTTAGTTGATATTGCAGTATTAAGATGGTTAACGACCCTATGGCAGAAGTATTATGAGTAAATTTCTTATGGTGCACATGTCCTGCCATTAATCACCTCGTCCACCTGGTCATTTTTATTTCACATGAAAATTCCATGATTTGTATCGAACCTGCAACCTCACATATCATGTTAAGTTTTGTCACCCACTGTTTTCCCACTGAGCCATCAGGGCAGCTGATGAAAGTTTGTTCAATTTTACATATCATGACTAAAGTTGTGTTCATGCTGCATGTGGTTTTTCTCTCGCATGCTTTGATAGAATTCCTTTATACCGCCACACACTGTATTGTTTCACTGTAAGGTATCTATATTATTTTACTTATTTTCTTTCTTGTATTTCTTGCATTTAGATAGTTCATTAGTTGGATATTCATCCCTCTGGGCTTTTCCCTCACTTTCGGGGGCACGGGTGGCCCAGTCGTCTTAGGCGCAGCGATTCGCTGTGCAGTGTTGCGTCCCTTGGACACACCAGAAACCTATGATTGTGGGTTTGAATCCCGTTTTGCCCCAATTATGTTTCTAGGTTTGTCAGCACCATACCCGTGCTCGTGGGTTTCACCGAAGTGGTAAACGTCTGAAACCTGCATCACTTCGGGCTTACCTCTCAAGCTGACACACCGTGATATAACTGGAATACTGTTAAAAGCGGCGTTAAGCCCAACTCACTCCCTCACTCCCTCACTTTTGGATTTACATTTTCAACCAAAACCTCAGTGTTGTGTTTTATCCGTAACTTAATAGATTGCCAGGTAGAAGTATAGGTGTTCAGGATATATGCACATATCACTTCATACATGGTTCTCTTTAATACAAACCATTGGTAAAGAGCTTTCTAGTGTATCAGTACTACTTCATTTATCATGTATTTAATTCTATTGATCTGTCAATATTCAAACATAGTGGCCGAGTGCAAGCTTGACTCCTGAGAGTTTCTAGGGCTTCGGCCCTGCCCCAACCTGAAGCACATGTAACACATAGGGTGTCTCTAGGGGCAAGTGACTTTGTTCAAACTATATCTCTGTTCACCCAGCAGCAAGTGGGTACCTTGTAAGATGTGATGGTAATTTGACTGTTAATGTTCTAGTGCCTCATAGTGCAATGCATACTCCCCAGGGAGCTGAGAATGACAATCAAGTGCACACTGATCCATTGACTGGGGTAATACTGGTGTCATGCACTTGTGTATAGAATGTAGTGCATTGTAAGTACTCGTCATTATTACTGTTAGGGAAGACTTGATTATTATTGTTATTATTATTATTTATCTATTGAGGTCATGCTGTGATCAACTGCAATGACTGTGTAGTTTGACCAGTGATTACATGACTCCTGGTTTCAGTGGTCTGAAGCTGTTGATGACACCGGTTCTAGCGGCTCTGCTGGAGCGGAACCCCGAGAGAACCATGCTGTTTGAGAAGTTCTTCCATGAGTCTGCAACGATATCCTCCAAGCTGAGCACGGACATCTTCTGTCCTGCCCTGTGTGCCAGCATCCGGGTGTTCCTGGACAGATCTGATGTGTGAGTTGTCCATCATCCAGGGGTAGTCCTTGGTTCACTGCCAGCGTATGAATGCAATAGGTTGTTAGTTGTTTAACACCCAACTCACCAATATTCCAGTATGTGATGGCATCCTGAAAATAATCGAAACTGGACCAGACAATCCAGTGATTGATAAATGAACAATGATGCATGCTATCAACGAAGTCACTGAACCTGACCACCCGATCTTCCGACCAACATTAGTTCCTGGGGACCAATGTTAACCCGAAATTACCCACTGGGGCCTCTCTAGTGGGTGGGTAGAGCTCCTGGTATAGATTGTTGCTACTGGTGAGTTGCACAGCTTAATGAGTTCTTCGTATAATTAGGAAAACCTCAATAATGCTCCTTTTATCATGTATTCCACCGCATTGAATTATAGAACATTGCGAGTGAACAATTTCGACACAACCCCTGTTCAGAAGAAATGTTGGTATTATTTCCATTACTAGAATAACATATGGTTTCTATCTAATTTCACATTTCTATTTTCAAATCAACTCCAGATGACATATCTATTGTATTAAACAGAATGTGATCAGATGCTCGCAGACCAGACAATCCAGTGATTGATAATGTGAACAAAGATCCACACTGTTGTGGTACGATGACACGCTATCAACCATTTCACTGAGCCTGACCACCTGATCCATTTGGTCGCGTCTTATGACCAGCATTAATTGCTGGAAACCAATTTTAACCCGGAATATCCAAAGGGTATAGTGTTGAAAATAGTATCTGTAAACATGATATTTAGATAAGAGACCTAACGCTGGGGAAACATGTGATACCCTGTTGTCATTGGCTACTCAGTACAAATTGGACATCACAAAATACAAATGTCATTGAAAGTTTTCATACGTATGTATATGTTCCTTTAAAGTTATTCAAAGCTCCAAGAGAAGATTGCAGAGCAGACGGACATTCCGGCGAGTGACCAGCTGATCCTGTATGATGGCCAGGAGTTGACCTCTCTAGTTGACCACATTGCCCCGGTCCACACATACCCCCTTGACATCTCCCCAAGTCACCCCCTCATCGTCTACAACAAGTCAGATGACCATCTCTGTTACTGCAAGCCAGCTAAGGGTAAATATCATATACCTATCAATGATGTGAGGCATTTTGCATGTGTGATAAAGCCAACATGGAGCCAACTCGTATTACATCCCCTGCCGGGTTGATATTGCTTATCAATACATATTGATCAATATCAGCCCGGGTGGTAAGAAATGGGAGTTAAGACCTGCACAGCTAGCTTTCCCATGACAATGACTTTAAAACAAGGTCAAAATGTTTTCCATTTACTTGCAAATAGATACATTTTACAATTTGATGTCATGGTATATGATAAAAAGAGTATTATATGGCAGTTTTCATATCATACCCCTTATCAAACCTTGTCCCCCATGTCAGGTCTTCTGACTGATAAAATCAAGGGATGGCTGCTAGAAATGTGTATGCTGCACTCTCATTCTTGATTAGTAGTTGATTTCAAGGTCATGAGCGAGAGAAACACCGCGTCAAGTTAGGGATGAAGGTGATGACATCACTATTGAAATAAGGTGTTTTCTGGCGAATGGGTCCTGGGTATTTATGAACATAATCTGGAGATATAATCTACTGGATACTCAAGGTTGTGCTGTTCTGAGACATCAGAAGTAGGTTGTCCTTAGAGGCTGTCTTACCAACAAACTGGAAGACATCAGGTATAGAAATTAGCACTAGTTGCCAAACTGCCCTATAGTAAATTGACTGTTTGCAATTTTTAAGGGCTTTGCTATATGTTATCATCATAAGGACTAGTGGACTAAAGATGTTGTTTCTACTGCTGAGACATGCAAGCATGCATCCATCCATCCAACCAACCATACATACGTACGTACGCACGCACGCACGCACGCACGCACGCACGCACGCACGCACGCACGCACACACACACACACGCAGAGATGCACGCACTGTATTAGCTGCCATTTGCTATGTTGCAGGCTCCTTCCCCAACCTCCAGAGCACAGGTTACCTGGATGTAGATGCCAGCATGGCCAAGAAATGCAGCATTGTGGTGTGTTCTAAAACCCGCGCTGTTGAGACGCTGCTGTCACGGAGCTGCCAGATGCACGTCGCTGTCAGACAGTATAGGTGAGGATTCCAGCCGTCTTTCATCTGTGGCCTCAGTACTCAGTGGTCACCAGAGTTGTTGGGTTTGAATATCACTTCTCTAGGGAAGTGGATCCTGCTGCCCTGATGGTGTGGAGCAAGGATCCGGAATAATTTTGGTCACGCCCACCTCATTTTTCTCAGTTACTGTTGGACGTTCATGTATGAATAAAAATTATAACAAAAATAAAATCATGGGTCACTTTCATAACATTAACCATATTTTCTTGAGTATAGTGCACACTTTTTTCCATTAAACACACCACAATGAGTTTTCCCTGACGCAAACTAAAGACATTACCATGAGCACCCAACACTGGAAATACCATGTCATCAAATCCATACTGAATTAACCAATTTAATCCTGTTATTACACTATCTGGTTATAAAAAGTGTTCATTGTATATATGGACTTACATTTGTAACCTATTTCATGAAATTTTTCAAACTGTTTGCATTCAATATTGTTTTACATTAATTTGGGTGAAACTGTGTGTGTTTCCTTATCCTAGTTGGAGTATTTGTCCTACTATTGACCTCTGGTCCAGGCTTGATCTCTTGCAGGCCACAGTCATTGATGGGTTCTGGTCAATTCATGTTCCCGAGGCCAAGGAGTTAACTGACTGTAAGAGTTGATTTTCGTGGCTCGATCGCAGTGTCACCAGTGGCTATTACGAGTGAAGTTATTGCCATGTCCCTCCTATTGACCACTTGCATTTGCTTCAAACAAAATGATGGCTCCCATTCAATACGATCGATAATCAAGGTCTATATTGTAATAAAACAGGTCTTACCTCACATAGTGCATCAAGTTACTAGAACGCCTTGATTTAAAATATGAAAAGATTTGGAAAATATCTGTCGACACCAGGTTGACAGGATACATGCTTTGCAAATCCTGCAGTCGACTGAAATCTGCATGTTGAAATCCATGTTGTCTACAAACCAGATGTCTAGTTCTTCAGGGGGCATGGGTGGCCCAGTCATCTAAACTAGCTGTGATGCGCTGTGCAGAGTTTTGTCCCTTGGGCACGCCAGAAACCTATGATTGTGGGTTCGAATCCCGGTTCGCCACGATTATGTTTCTAGGTTTGTCAGCACCATACCCGTGCTTGTGGGTTTCTCCGAAGAGGTAAACATCTGAGACCTGCATCACTTTGGGCTTCCCACTTCCCACATTAAGCTGACATGCCGTGATATAACTGTAATACTGTTAAAAGCGGCATTAAACCCAACTCACTCAGTCACTCTAGTTCTTTATGCGATTTTGATTGGCCTATGCATAGACTTGTTAGTCCCGCCAGACCAACTTCGGCAAGGGTGGTAACTTTTTAGTCAGTTAACTCCCTTGCCTCGGGAAGATGTGTCAGTATGACTTTTAAAAGCTCTTGAAGTTACGTTGTCTTGGTTGTTTGTTTCCAGACAGTCTTTGTACAACCGAATTAACACAGTGACCAACATCATGAACAAACTGCTCCCCTTCTGCCTAGCCACACAACAGTGGCATGAGAACTTCTTACGGCTACAGAACCAACAACTGCGTGTGCTGCAGCTACTCCTCAACACCAGTGTGGGTGGCAGCAACATCCAGACTCTACTGAGTCAGGTGCAGGAGACACTCCGGACCTCACAGGCCAAATGTCAGTCTGGGGCTCTCAAGGTGAGGCTAAATGTCAGTCTGGGGCTCTCAAGGTGAGGCTAAATATCAGCCTGGGGCTCTCAAAGTGAGGGTAAATGTCAGTCTGGGGCTCTCAAGGTGAGGCTAAATGTCAGTCTGGGGCTCTCAAGGTGAGGCTAAATATCAGCCTGGGGCTCTCAAAGTGAGGGTAAATGTCAGTCTGGGGCTCTCAAGGTGAGGCTAAATGTCAGTCTGGGGCTCTCAAGGTGAGGCTAAATATCAGCCTGGGGCTCTCAAAGTGAGGGTAAATGTCAGTCTGGGGCTCTCAAGGTGAGGCTAAATGTCAGTCTGGGGCTCTCAAGGTGAGGCTAAATATCAGCCTGGGGCTCTCAAAGTGAGGGTAAATATCAGTCTGGGGCTCTCAATGTGAGCGTGAATGTCAGACTGGGGCTCTCAAGGTGAGCGTGAATGTCAGACTGGGGCTCTCAAGGTGAGCGTGAATGTCAGACTGGTGCTCTCAAGGTGAGGGGTAAATGTCAGTCTGGTGCTCTGAGGGTAAATGTCAGTCTGGGGCTCTCTAGGTGAGGGTAAATGTCAGTCTGGGGCTCTCAAGGTGAGGGTAAATGTCTGTCTGGTGCTCTGAGGGTAAATGTCAGTCTGGGGCTCTCAGGGTGAGGGTAAATGTCAGTCTGGGGCTCTCAGGGTAAATGTCAGTCTGGGGCTCTCAAGGTGAGGGTAAATGTCAGTCTGGTGCTCTGAGGGTAAATGTCAGTCTGGGGCTCTCAAGGTGAGGGTAAATGTCAGTCTAGGGCTCTCAAGGTGAGGGTAAATGTCAGTCTGGTGCTCTCAAGGTGAGGGTAAATGTCAGTCTGGGGCTCTCAAGGTGAGGGTAAATGTCAGTCTGGTGCTCTGAGGGTAAATGTCAGTCTGGGGCTCTCAAGGTGAGGGTAAATGTCAGTCTGGGGCTCTCAAGGTGAGGGTAAATGTCAGTCTGGTGCTCTGAGGGTAAATGTCAGTCTGGTGCCCTGAGGGTAAATGTCAGTCTGGGGCTTTCAAGGTGAGGGTAAATGTCAGTCTGGTGCTCTGAGGGTAAATGTCAGTCTGGGGCTCTCAAGGTGAGGGTAAATGTCAGTCTGGGGCTCTCAAGGTGAGGGTAAATGTCAGTCTGGTGCTCTCAAGGTGAGGGTAAATGTCAGTCTGGGGCTCTCAAGGTGAGGGTAAATGTCAGTCTGGTGCTCTGAGGGTAAATGTCAGTCTGGGGCTCTCAAGGTGAGGGTAAATGTCAGTCTGGGGCTCTCAAGGTGAGGGTAAATGTCAGTCTGGTGCTCTGAGGGTAAATGTCAGTCTGGTGCCCTGAGGGTAAATGTCAGTCTAGGGCTTTCAAGGTGAGGGTAAATGTCAGTCTGGGGCTCTTAAGGTGAGGGTAAATGTCAGTCTGGTGCTCTGAGGGTAAATGTCAGTCTGGGGCTCTCAAGGTGAGGGTAAATGTCAGTCTGGTGCTCTGAGGGTAAATGTCAGTCTGGTGCTCTGAGGGTAAATGTCAGTCTAGGGCTTTCAAGGTGAGGGTAAATGTCAGTCTGGGGCTCTTAAGGTGAGGGTAAATGTCAGTCTGGTGCTCTCAAGGTGAGGGTAAATGTCAGTCTGGGGCTCTCAAGGTGAGGGTAAATGTCAGTCTGGTGCTCTGAGGGTAAATGTCAGTCTGGGGCTCTCAAGGTGAGGGTAAATGTCAGTCTGGTGCTCTGAGGGTATATGTCAGTCTGGTGCTCTCAGGGTGAGTAATAAGTAACTTGGTCATCCTGGTACACTCACTTGCGGTATCGACTGTATGAACTGTGATGGATATCTGAATTTAGTTACCAGGTGTGTCCAAGGAATAGTTTCCTAAATAGCATTGAAAAATTGTTTTGAGTAACTGAAAAACACCTTCCAGGTGCAGCAGACGCTGGACCAGGCCAAGAAGGGACTTGGCTCCGTGGAGGAGCTGCACCAGAAAGTGAAGAGCTGGAAACAGGATGAGAAGACCTTGAAGGAGGAGAGATGGTAGGTGGACAGTAATGGTAGTAATGGTAGATAGGTGTATGTGCGAGAAGGTTTAGATGAGTAGGTGACAAATGAGGAAAGGGACGAGGAGGAATAGATAAGTGAGGAGATGGTTGATGAGGAAAGGGAAGAGGAGGAATAGATAAGTGAGGAGATGGTTGATGAGGAAAGGGAAGAGGAGGAATAGATAAGTGAGGAGATGGTTGATGAGGAAAGGGAAGAGGAGAAATAGATAAGTGAGGAGATGGTTGATGAGGAAAGGGAAGAGGAGGAATAGATACGTGAGGAGATGGCTGATGAGGAGATGGTTGATGAGGAAAGGGAAGAGGAGGAATAGATAAGTGAGGAGATGGTTGATGAGGAAAGGGAAGAGGAGGAATAGATACGTGAGGAGATGGCTGATGAGGAGATGGTTGATGAGGAAAGGGAAGAGGAGGAATAGATACGTGAGGAGATGGTTGATGAGGAAAGGGAAGAGAAGGAATAGATAAGTGAGGAGATGTTGATGAGGAAAGGGAAGAGGAGGAATAGATACATGAGGAGATGGTTGATGAGGAAAGGGAAGAGGAGGAATAGATACGTGAGGAGATGGTTGATGAGGTAAGGGAAGAGGAGGAATAGATACGTGAGGATATTGTTGATGAGGAAAGGGAAGAGAAGGAATAGAAACGTGAGGAGACGGTTGATGAGGTAACGGAAGTGGAAGAATAGGTACATGAGGAGATGGTTGATGAGGAATAGGAAGAGGAGGAATAGATAGGTGAGGAGATGGTTGATGAGGTGATTGGAAAACAGCTAAAAACAATCATTTTTAACAGTCATGTAATTTGTTTAAATACAAAGAGGGTTTGATCAGATTAGGCGGCAAATTTTTTTTATGTAGTTCTCTGTGAAACTTATTGATTTCAAGCTTATGAGTAAGAGACATTCTCTGTCCCTCCTATTGACCAATCCACTTCACATATTACTTGTATTTCCTTCAAATATAATGGCATCACCCTGTGAAGACGATCTTATAGATAATGAAGAGATCTATGTTGTGTAGGTCTTCAGCAACCCATGCTTGCCGTAAAAGGCGACTATGCTTGTCGTAAGAGGCGAAGAACGTGATCTGGCGGTCAGACTTGCTGACTTGGTTGATGTATGTCATCAATCCAAATTGCGTGGATTGATGCTCATGATGTCAGTCACTGGATTGTCTGGTCCAGACTTGATTATTTACAGACCGCCGTCATGTAGCTGGAATATTGCTGAAAGTGCCGTTAAACAACAACCAACTATGTTGTAATAAACCTGGGCTTCGCGAAGTGTGTCTAATCAACTGAGCACCTTGATTTAAAACATAAAAAGATTTGGAAAATATCTGTTGACTCTAAGTTGTCAGTACACATGCTTTGCAAATGAACCAATATTTGCACGAGAGTTTACGGACCCGATGTTGATTTTGTTATGTGATTTTGATTGGACTATGTATAAACTTGTTAGTCCAGCCAAAATATAACTTTATAGTTCGGCAAGGGTGGAAACTAGACTTTTACAGTCAGTTAGCTCCCTTGCCTCAGGAAGATGAATTCTCACTACACCCACAAATCTGGAGGTGCATGTTTACCCCATGGTGTGTGTTGTGCAGGTTGGCCAGGATCCAGGTGGTCAGCAGCAAGACCAAGGCCATCCTGTACAAGTTCAAGGAGGACAAGGCCAAGAGAGTCCTCAACTTCAACGAGGAACAGATCCACCATTTTGAAAGGTGGGAAGCACATATTTCTTCTTTTATGTTCACTAACCATACTAGCAGAGTCAGAGTGATTGCTGCTCTTTGCCAGTTAGCGACAGCATTTATATATTTAAAATTACACCTTTCTCCCTGTCGTATTTCCAGATCCAGCCTGCATGAGATGTGCTCTAAAGCCAAGTCTATATTTGAAACTGTGGATGAGAGAGTAAAATTACAGGCGGGGGCGTACAAGCAGTGGTACAGGTACGGCAATAATGGCTTTATAAATATTTCTGACCTAACCGAAACAATTTTGCATCAATTCATTTTCAACAAGACAATTATAGCATAAATAATGAATAAGAGACAATAAAGATGTGATTACTGATGGTAAAAATGATTGTTTGTGAAGAAGCTCATAAAAAATAATCCAGCAGCAAAACATGGGTACCCGGCAGGAGGTGAAGCTTCTGTGATTGTTAACTCTTAACATTATGCATTTGATCTGCAGAAGTTGTATTTTTCCAAGGGGGAATAAATCTCTTACCCTGCCACAAGCAATGGTAGAGCGTCTGCCCGGAGAGCGGAAGGTCCGGGGTTCGATCCCTGACCACGTCATACCAAAAGACGTTAAAAGATGGTACTTGTTGTTACCCTGTCTGGCGCTCGGCATTATGGGGCTCAAACAAGGACTGGTTGGCTCGGAGTCAGTATACTGTGTCAGAGTGGGGTATTCATGTTAAACTGCGGCATGGTATCTCAGTGAGCTAGCACTATAAATCGGCATCAGTCCGGACTAGTACAAGCAGCCACACACACACGTGCATGCACGTCGCTATATAAGTGCAATAATCTTGGACGCGACGTTGAACCCCATTTCACCTCACCTAGTGCTGCAGCATGTTGTTATTGTTGCAGCTTGGCCTAGTGCTACAGCATGTTGTTATTGTTGCAGCTTGGCCTAGTGCTACAGCATGTTGTTATTGTTGCTGCTAGGTCTAGTGCTACAGCATGTTGTTATTGTTGCAGCTTGGCCTAGTGCTACAGCATGTTGTTATTGTTGCTGCTAGGTCTAGTGCTGCAGCATGTTGTTATTGTTGCAGCTTGGTCTAGTGCTGCAGCATGTTGTTATTGTTGCTGCTAGGTCTAGTGCTGCAGCATGTTGTTATTGTTGCAGCTTGGCCTAGTGCTGCAGCATGTTATTGTTGCTGCTAGGTCTAGTGCTGCAGCATGTTGTTATTGTTGCAGCTTGGTCTAGTGCTGCAGCATGTTGTTATTGTTGCAGCTTGGTCTTGTGCTGCAGCATGTTGTTATTGTTGCAGCTTGGTTTAATGCTGCAGTGTGTTGTTACTGTTGCTGCTAGGTCTAATGCTGCAGCATGTTGTTATTGTTACAGCTTGGTCTAATGCTGCAGCATGTTGTTATTTTTGCAGCTTGGTCTAATGCTGCAGCATGTTGTTATTGTTGCTGCTAGGGCTAATGCTGCAGCATGTTGTTATTGTTGCAGCTTGGTCTAATGCTGCAGCATGTTGTTATTGTTGCAGCTTGGTCTAATGCTGCAGCATGTTGTTATTGTTGCTGCTAGGGCTAATGCTGCAGCATGTGGTTATTGTTACAGCTTGGTCTAATGCTGCAGTGTTTTGTTACTGTTGCAGCTAGGTCTAGATCTGCAGCATGTTGTTATTGTTGCAGCTTGGTCTAATGCTGCAGCATGTTGTTATTGTTGCAGCTTGGTCTAATGCTGCAGCATGTTGTTATTGTTGCAGCTTGGTCTAATGCTGCAGCATCTGTTTATTGTTACAGCTTGGTCTAATGCTGCAGTGTGTTGTAACTGTGGCAGCTTGGTCTAGTGCTGCAGCATGATGTTATTGTTGCAGGTTGGTCTAATGCTGCAGCATGTTGTTATTGTTACAGCTTGGTCTAATGCTGCAGCATGTTGTTACTGTTGCAGCTTGGTCTAATGCTGCAGCATGTTGTTACTGTTGCTGCTTGGTCTAGTGCTGCAGCATGTGGTTATTGTTGCAGCTTGGTCTAGTGCTGCAGCATGTTGTTATTGTTGCAGCTTGGTCTAATGCTGCAGCATGTGGTTATTGTTGCAGCTTGGTCTAATGCTGCAGCATGTTGTTATTGTTGCAGCTTCGTCTAGTGCTGCAGCATGTGGTTATTGTTGCAGCTTGGTCTAATGCTGCAACATGTGGTTATTGTTGCAGCTTGGTCTAATGCTGCAGCATGTGGTTATTGTTGCAGCTTGGTCTAATGCTGCAGCATGTTGTTATTGTTGCAGCTTGGTCTAGTGCTGCAGTATGTTATTGTTGCAGCTTGGTCTAATTCTGCAGCGTGTTGTTACTGTTGCAGCTGTGCCTGTGAGTGTTGGCGGCAGTGTCAGGTGCTGGAGATAAGGCTGAAGAACCTGTTTGATCAGCAGTCTCACTTTGTGGAGAGTCTCAGCTTGGTGAGTTCACTTGATTGCAATATTACTGATATGTTCTCATGTCATAATGACGTCACCCGTTGTGTAGACAGCTAGACACTGCTTATCATCAGATGACTGATCCTGAATTCACAAATTATTAGACCATTGACCATGAATTCACTCATTCTGATCACTAATGAAGAAATTCTAGCTGGTCATTTAGTTACCTTATAGTTCCCTAAACATGAGATGTTCATCTGTGGATGACTAAGAAGTTGAAACAAGATATCTAGAAACACCATTAGGGAACTTTAAGAATGTAAACTGACAAAAAATGACAGAGATTTTAATTAGAATACTGATCACTTAATTCTGAAATTGCTAAGTTGCCATGTTGATGTCCACACAAATGCCTTCTCTCCAGTTCTGTCACAAGTACCAGCAGATTGTGGAGGACCGTCTGAAGCGCATCGAGCAGGACTCAGGTGTGGCGGACCTCAGCCTGGCAGAGTACGACAATATTGTCAAAGTGGACGACCTCACAGTGGAGGTCACCAAGGAGACCCCATCCAGGAAGGAGGTGACCGGAGACTTCCTGGAAATGTGAGTACCATGGTGGAATGTCAACTGTCACTTTGAAACTGCTTTAGTTGTCAGATTTACTAACCAGTGAACTGAATTTTTACAAAAATTAAAATATAAATATAAATTCACACTTTATTAGCATGTTTGTTTGTTTGTTTGTTGTTGAACTCAATTATTATCCGTAATGTAAATAACATAATAACATAATAAATGTTATCAATTAAAGTTGAAATATTAGTGTTTTGTTTCAGGATAAAAACCTCCAGGTCTTCATTAGAAGAAGTGATGTTGCTCGTGCATGAAAACACAAGTCTTCTCCATAGGTGGGTAGTCTCTGTAGTGGCATGTTTAGTGGTGGTGTTTTCGTATCAAATAAAATTCCTATGATTTTCTTTTAGGCTTTAAAAAATAAAAGAATTGGTTCTCAGGCAATAACTTTTGAAAATATAGAGCGGACAGTGTATTTTTTTGTTGTTGTTTCTTTTTGTTGCTTGTTCAAACTACATAGTATGTATCCGAAGAAACAGTTGTGTACCATCAACCTGGGAAAGGGCATGCCTATATTAACAAGCATACAAACTCCATTGCCACCATGACCAGAACACAAGATGCTCAGTAAAGCAGTGTGCATGTAAAGGGACTGCATTCTTTATTGGATCGCTTTTTTTTAAAGTGTATTGATTATTTATTTTTTGGGGGGGTGGGGATGGAAATAAAAACGAAATGTGCGGCAGACTTTATGATGATGCGAACGGTGCTTGAGAACCAAGACTATTATTATTTTTAGCCTTAAGTTGCTATTTATGTGCAGTGTTTCATCTCACATACTTTCATTGTATCTTGAATTGGTTGATTCAAAGTTTAGAACCAAGTTGTATACCTGCTATAATATTTAATAGAATATAAAAAGTAGAACTTTTGCCTTGTGACAATGTACAGTTTAAGATGTATCCTCAAATAAGACTTTCCACTCACTTTAACACTGAGTTGTGCAGACATACACCAGCCAGTCTATACTGTTAGATAAACAACCTTCCTTGTCAGCTACAGCCATACATGCATCTATACTTTATAAAACACTGAGTTGTGCAGACATACACCAGCCAGTCTATACTGTTAGATAAACAACCTTCCTTGTCAGCTACAGCCATACATGCATCTATACTTTATAAAACACTGAGTTGTGCAGACATACACCAGCCAGTCTATACTGTTAGATAAACAACCTTCCTTGTCAGCTACAGCCATACATGCATCTATACTTTATAAAACACTGAGTTGTGCAGACATACACCAGCCAGTCTATACTGTTAGATAAACAACCTTCCTTGTCAGCTACAGCCATACATGCATCTATACTTTATAAAACACTGAGTTACCCTTTCATGGAGCTTCCTACTTATGAACAACAATATGTCGGATGTAGCTTTGCTCTTTGGTAATCTCATCAACAGGGTGTCGCAAAGACGTTGAGACACAGTTCAAGCTAGCTAGTATTAGCAACTCGCAGTAATTTCATGGTGCCAAATTGTCCAGATTTACAGTACATGGTACATGTTTGTTTGTTTGTTTGTTGTTTAACACCGCACTCAGCAATATTCCAGCTGTATGACTGCAGCCTGTGTTAATAATCGAGTCTGGACCAGACAATCCAGTGATTGATATCATGACCATCAATCCACACAATTGGGATCAATGACATACATCAACCAAATCAGCGAGCCTGACCACCCGATCCCGTTAGTCGCCTCTTACGACAAGCATAGTCGCCTTTTACGACAAGAATGGGTTTCTGAAGACCTATTCTACCCCGATCTTCACGGGTCACATGGTACATCTGGTGTCTTGTTAGGCCAGTGGCTTTATATGATATATGCCTGTTCACCCAGTAGAATGTGATTGGAGTGAAGTGACATTTTTCATCTACTCTAGCTAACGTTCAACTACTTTTTCCTTGACAGCTTCAACGGCCTTGGCGTGGACACAGCCTGGCAGCAGCCAGACGTCACATGACCTACTGACCAGTACCTAGCTGTTGTATATCTCCCCACTAGATGTCCCCGATATATGTCCTACCTTAGTGTCAAAGCAAGGGGCTGTACCTACACTCCATACGTTTGTGTTTTAACTCAGCAAGGCAATAGTCAGTCTGCCCTACATGAACCTAACTTTGTAGTAACAGGATCACGTGAGTTGATTCAACAGTATGAATGAATATCTGCATGAAGGATAATATCAAGTTTTGGTGTACGAATCTGAAAGATATACTGTTGGTGTGATATGTCATACATGATACTGGTACATGGTCTCTGATTTGTCTGATCATTATCTGATTTGGTCTATACTTGAAATACCGGTATTTATGACTAAAGTTATGATTAAAGAGGGGAAATTGACTTATCTGAGAAGAAACTTTGGAACCATTGCCTCTCACAGGACATTTAGTTCAAGACAACCATGAGTTTCACAAATCAATGTTCGCCACAACGTCGACACAATGTTCAACACAACGGTACTAAACTGTAGTGTATTCTGAATCCTTTGGCACATTAATTAGAAATGACAAGATATTGCCTGTAGGGAGGTATACCGTGTACAGAATATATTGTGTTAACTCTGACCTGTAGATATGTGGAGGTGACTGGCGTCGGTCTGGCGTCATGTGTGTGAATACATGGAGTTGTACATATACTGTTCCTCATAAACTTGAAAATGTTTCTGCCACCAGTGCCATTATATGGAGATGTTTGTGTGACCTAACAGGGATGTTGTTTAGTAGGAGAGTTATCTCCCCGCCTTGAAGAGGATTGTTTCCTTCTGTATATCGTGTAGTGTTTGATTGAACCTCATCTTCCCGAGGCAAGGGAGTTAACTGATTATAAAAGTCCTGTTTCCTTGTTGAAGTTATATTTGGTTGGACTATGCATGTAAGGCCCAAATATTGTATCATGGAGTCATATTTTGGTTGGACTAATGAGTCCATGCATGTAAGACCCGTTTTATTCCAAAATAGATATTGATCATCAATCAGATTGTCTTCACTGAGCGACACCATCTTATTTGAAGCAAATGCAAGGTGGATTGGTCAATAGAATAGTCATAGAAGGGACATAACTCGTAATAGTCACTGGTGGCGCTACGATCAATCCCAGAAAATCTAGGCTAGGGTGGAAACTGGAATTTTGCAGTCAGTTAACTCCCTTACCTCAGGAAGATGATTGAACCTAAATGTAGTACAGGACCGGAGGCACAAACCTCATGGCACATGTTTGAGTCTTGTTCTGATGTTTTTAGTTGATGTGTTTTTATTCATTCAAGCATGATGCTAATTACGGGCTTTCCCTATTAATGGATATTTTATTTCATCATGCAATCAGTTGGCAGGGTTTTACCTAGACTTTGAAAAGTGGGGTCAAGGAGACCTCCAATAATAAATCTTTCGGGTCCTTGCAGGCAATATGAGGTTCCTGTAAAGTAATGAAATGGTGTGGTTTACTGTATGTTTTGATAATTACTTCAGTGCCAGGAATGAATCCATAATGATGTGGAAAGTGGTCATGGTTGATGAACGCCCATAACTGCACTTGATGCACTGTAGGTAGTCTGTCATACAGACCTTGAAACAAAAATATTTAATGCAGCCCATGCAAGTCTATCATAGTGGGTTGTGTCAGTTTCTGAAAATGAAGACAGTCGCTGGGCTCCATTGAATTATACCTTATTAAGATAATTTAACAACGTTTTTTTTTTATATAAAATATTCTTTTTCTGCACCCATTCTCAACAATTGTGTGTACTGGTCGCATAATTGTGCGTCACATAAATCCCTGATTTGTCATTCCCCTACATTTAGTAGTACTTGTTCTCATGAATCATTTTGGTTAAGAGGCCTTTCAGGCTATGAAGCCAGTTTCTGATCCAAATAAGAAATGTTATAGCGACCATCAGCGATCATTACACACAAAGATGTGGGTATATTGGCCGATACACTGAAGAGAGGGTTAGGTACCTAGATTTTACCCCTCTGGAGGCAAGTCAACATTTTTATACCTTTTATGTGTAAACCCAACATCTATAACAGTCTGTGCCTAAACTTCAACTAGCCTGACATTGTCACTTGTATCAGTTTTCTGTAGATTTTAGTGTTAATATGTAGACTATTATAAGCTTTGTGTATTTGGCCAAGCACAATTTTGGACTTGGCTTCAGATAGTGGTTGAAGTTGCAAACTGCTATAATTGAAAAGAAAGAAAGGAGTGTCGGCCACCTACAGATTAAGGAAATGAAATAGATAGTGAGATAGGACTGGTGTGGATACGAAACTACCCCTTGAATACGAAACTGCCCTCTCTGCGTTGGGAATGCCTTTACAGCAGCCATCTTGGTTTGCTTTAGGAAGGCAGTTGAGTGACAACCTGTTTGAGTGCAGTAAGTTTCTTGTGTTGACTGAATACAAGTGTACATAGGAAGAGTCTCTGACTGTCTATTTTAACATCTGGTGTATACAAACTTCTGTTCCTGACTGTGCCATGTGTTTGGACTTCAACCTACACCAACCTTGTCAGCTGGCTGATGAGCTGGGCTTGGCCATATGGGCAAGGTGTTCTCCAGAGGTAGTCCCTGGTTTGGATCCCAGTCTGGAAATGAATACATTGTGATATTAACCTTCCTGCCACAATGATATTTTTCTCTTTGAAAGAAGTTAATGATATGGTGCGCTAAAGTTCTCGTGATTTTGTTGGTAGTGATAATGATGTTTGTGAACTTAAGTACAGTACTCAGTTTGTGAGACCTGCATGTTTTGTTTTGGTTATTTTGTTTGTTGTTTAACATGGCACTCAGCAATATTCCAGCTATATGACGGTGGTCTGTAAATAATCGAGTCTGGACCAGACAACCCAGTGATTGACATCATGAGCATCAATCCACGCATTTGGGATACGATGACATGCATCAACCAAGTCAGCGAGTCTGACCCATCTGATCCCGTTAGTCGCCTCTTTCGACAATCATCGGTTGCTGGAGACCTATTCTACCCCAGATCTTCATGGGTCCAGAGAGACCTGTATGTGCATGTGCACACTGTAGTGGGTGGGTTGTTTTGAAGTGCCTCCAAATAATTATTGTGAATTGTATACTGGAGGAAGGATGTAAGGGAACCAATAGAAATATTTTGAAATTCTGTACTATTTCTTTTGTTAACAGTAAAGGTTTGACAGAGTATAACGTCAGTGTTGATGGTGAGTTTGATGCATTGCCAGTGAACTCCGGCCATCTTCAGTGCATGCAATACCCCATGCTCATCACATCTGTCCTTTATGGTGTTCCCTAATTTTGTTCCATCAGTATATCCTGACATCCTGAGTGTCTTGCTGTTGGCTGTTACTACAGTGTGTCTTCCCAGGGTGGAATACATTGATGTTGCTTGACTGGAGTTTGATGACATGAACACTCCAGTATCATAACAACTGTCTTACAATTACATGTGTCTTGTTACTTGGTTTTCAGATCTGCAGACCAAAAATGTAACACATTTAGAATAATAATCAATTTTTCATAACAGACATTTTTCTTTCCAACTCATTGAAATGACAATCAATTTTTTATCTTATTTTTTTTTCATTTTGACCTCTATTTTGTTTGGGAAATAAAATGTGTGAAGCATGTCATGTAAACATTGTAGGTCAGGGCCTTCTATATTATGGTAGATGACTAATGTACATGATTGTATAGTTATATCCACAAAATGTACTCGACCAATAAACTTTATACAACAGTACCGCTCGAGCTGCAAGTACCTCAAGATTTACAGAAGCATGGGCTGTGGGTGTTAGTGAAAAGTGCTGTGAGTGTGACTGTCTACTGTTGTGTGGACATGCTTTTCATGGGACTTGAGTATTGGACTGTGCTCACAGACAGAACATGTAACTGTCCTTTATCAGGATAACAAGGAACAGCTGGGGGAACATAGGGCCATGTGTCAGCTCCTGCTTTGTTCTCGCACATGCACCATTATGTCGTCACAATTCAGTCAATAGGGTGTCTTGAGATAATTCATCTGAAAACATTGAACACATAGAATCACGATTATTTCAAATAATAAAAACATCAAATTTCTTATTGAATCAAAATATGTTTTTTGCTTTTGTAAGCATTTGAATATTCTTTTAACAATAATAGACTCAGAATTTTTTTATTTGCATAATTTTGTAATGAGATATTTATGTACATTTATCACATGTAATTACTCTACCCTTTTCTGTGATATAACTCTCTGTACATAGACCCACATTCCATGTCTGACAGAAGCTGACCACATGATGACCTTGTGTGGTTCAAATAAACTGTACATTATGATAATGGCAACATGCATGTACACTGTTTTGTGTTTTCTTCACAATAAATGTGTTTGTTTCCAGTCAGAAATGTTTGCTGTATGTTAGCCACTCTTCAAATTATCTAAAAAGAAGTTTTCTGTATAAGTTTTGGGGGGACATGTTTGTGACATTTCATTCAGTTTAAATTTCAGGTGATGCGAGGTGATGAAATTGGGATGCTGATACTTACCGATTCATCTTAGTCATCGGAATATGTTTAATTGCTCAAGTTATTGGCACTGATAAGTAACACAGATGTTTCACACAGGTTTTGTGGAGCAACACATTTGAACTATAGGTCCATGCCTAAGTGTTGGAGTTGAAGATCAGTGTGGGAAACTATGGGGAGAGCTGTGAGAGAAGTTCACAATAGCAACAGCTCACAATCGTTAACAATAGCGACAGCTAACAGTCGTTAACAATAGCGACAGATAACAGTCGTTAACAATAGCGACAGCTAACAATCGTTAACAATAGCGACAGATAACAATCGTTAACAATAGCAATAACTCCATGGGAAGAGATTAACAATATAACTACCAGGTTTTGGAAATATTTTTCATGTAGGATAGTCTTAAAATGTCTTTAGAACTGCGTGCCTTATTAGAGTTTTTACTTGACTGTCATTCTTTTGAAAATCCAACAGTAATGAAATAACAAACATTATTTTATTTTTTATTTGGATAGGAAGGTTTTGGAAGTGTTAGATGCCTGAAATATGCTCTTGGGGAACTGCAATCCTTAGGATTTTGCTCCCATGAACATTTATAATATTGCACTTAATTTGAATATTATTGCATAAGTCTCTTTTGAAAATTCGTTATGGTCAGTTTTGTTAGAAAGTAAGAATTTCTACAGCCATAGTTGGGTAAAAATATACTAAACTTGTGTTTTTTCCAGAGGTGATAAATTGTGTCCTATGTTCTACTCATTTCATATACTGTGGATGTAATGTTGTTGATGTGATGGTACCACCTCATGGCTTCTGTTAACAGCCCTCATGGCGTTCTCTGTGTGCAGCTGTCTAATAGTGAGAGATTTTCAAAAAAGTTATTAAGAGGAATTGTGTTTAATTACGCGACTTTATGCAATCTGATCTTAAGCTTCTATCTAAGAATATTTCATCCAGTAAAAAAAGAGGGGGAAAATAAGCACCACTTACTGAGTATTCAATATAAAGTAGCCATAATATTGTGTTTTTTTATTTGATGAAATACATCTTCTGTGTCTTTGTAGCATATGATACGACCTTGTAGCATATGATACAACCTTGAATCATGTGATACGACCTTACAGAGTATGGTACGACTTTGCAGCATATGATACGACCTTGTACTTGCGCTGTAGGGTACAATACTAAGCATGTTCTGTGAGTAAGAAAACGTACAACGTTTATGGATAACCACTTCTGGTTTATTGCAAATGGCGATGTTTCTCACACGGTTATCAAGCTTGAGTGACTACATCCAAGTGAAGAGAGGTATATATGCATAAATTGTTGTGATCAAGGGTATTACATCTCGTCTGCCTATGAAGAGCTAATCAACCAATGTTTTTTTATTATCCAATCAGCTTGTCGCGACTTTTAAATCCTGTTAATCCTTATCCTTAGCTGGCTTAATTACCAGTGGGCTATTTGTTATTCTTACTGTACATCTGGCTTCATCCAATCATCTCTGTGCTACTTGTTATCTATTACCTGTTGTTGTTAATGTTAATCTGTTGATCACAACGTATCATGCATATTTACCTCTCATCACTTGGTTATAGTCACTCTAGCTTGATAACGGTGTAAGAATCCACATCAAAACGCTATATGCAATAAACCAGAAGTTGTTATCCATAAAGTTTCAGATTTCTTATTTACTAACCAACTTATAGAATGTCAATCAAACAGTTATGATGTATGAGGTTGTAGGTTCAATTCACTTGAATAAATGTCATGTGAAAAATTGTGTATTAAAAAATCAGCATTAGAGGCTGTTTATGCAATTCAAGGGTAAAACCTAGGTCTTATAATTCAAATGAGTGAGTGAGTTGGGTTTTTAACACCGCTTTGAACAGTATTCCAGTTATATCAGGGCGTGTCAGCTTAATGTGGGTGGTAAGCCCGATGTGATGCAGGTCTCAGACGTTTACTACTTCGGTGAAACCCACGAGCACGGGTATGGTGCTGACAAACCTAGAAACATAATCAAGGCAAACCGGAATTCAAACCCACAATCAAAGGTTTCTGGCGTGCCCAAGGGACGCAACTCTGCACAGTGAATCGCGGCGCCTTAGACGACTGGGCCACCCGTGCCCCCTATTTAATTCAAATGTAAAACCAAGGTCTTATAATTCAAATGTAAAACCTAGGTCTTATAATTCAAATGTAAAACCAAGGTCTTATAATTCAAGTGTAAAACCTAGGTCTTATAATTCAAGTGTAAAACCAAGGTCTTATAATTCAAAGGTAAAATCTAGGTCTTATAATTCAAGTGTAAAACCAAGGTCTTATAATTCAAATGTAAAGTCTAGGTCTTATAATTCAAGTGTAAAACCTCTCAGCAGGCCTCACTGGAGAGTAGTACCTCTCACAAGATTATTACGAGATGGTAAAACACCTACAATACTATAGCATAGGCGAATCCAGAGGGGACCGGCCCCTTGATGAGGATGAATATGCCCACATCTATTGTGCATGGTGTGGTGAACATCCCTATAACTGTATGTATATGTTCCTATGTTGATAGGTACAGGCGTTGTGTACTAAAACTTGTTAGAGATCAGTAATGTAGACTGTCACTCATCAAGCCTGGAAGGAGAGTGTGGAACTCAGTGCTCATTTCCCTCCCATGGCACTATGGAGATTCCAGTGAGAAATAGGTTCCCAATACAGCATGGTTCCAATGATGATAAATGACGATTGTGTGTCAACATGCATGAAGACATGGATCGTTGCTCGTCCTGTCAACCACTGGTTTGCTTGACAGTGATATGATTGCAATATTGCAGATTCCCGCGTTTCATTAGAATGTGGGTCCTGCCGATGACAGTGTCTTGTTTCAGCCCTGGCTTTACCCGTGTTGCTCACCTCAGTTACAGGGTTCCGAATTTGGGGCCTTTTGTTTTGGCCTTGAATCATCATGTATTTCTTCCTGGTCTTCATCTATAATCGACGTTACCATCGTCATCATCGAATTTAGTAGTTGTTCTCATGTTACTGATGTCTATATTCAGGAACGTCTGTATATTTCAATAAGATCACACAGCTCTATTGATTTTCAGATGAAATAAATAAAATATTGATTGACTTCATTGTGCTGTCTTTATTTCATCCAGTTATATCAGTGGTTGTTAAAAAAGGATTTCGAAAAGGATATCGAAAATTGAATGATACACATGCACTTCTTAAAGTTTTTCTTAATGTTCTTGTACAGATTGCAACTGCTTAAAGGGTTTTGTGACCCCAGGGGTAAGTTCAGGATTAGAACAGATCCCCAGGAACCTAATAATAAAAGTATGCTGGTCATAAGAGGCGACAAAATGGATCTGGTGGTCAGGCTCGGTAAAGTGGGTGCTTGCCCGTCGTTGCTTATATATCAATCACCGGATTGTTTGGTTCTGGCTGATTACTAGTATTTACAATCCGCCGTCATATGGCTGAGAACGGAATTAACACACAAAACCAAAAACAGAATTATTGGACTATCGAAATCGGCAAGAGATGGGGAGGGCAGGTCATGTTCAATTATCTCAAGTAAGATGTTCTTTTCGATCAAATTTGCAAAATTCTATTGTTTTCAACAACATGTTTTTACAGATAATGCGAGACACCTGATGTGATTGTGTTTGTTTGCTGTGTAACGCCGAACCCCGCAATCTTCCAGCTGTATGACAGCGGACTCTAACAAATGGAGTCTGGACCAGACAATCCAGTGATTGACATCCCGAGCATCTACGCATTTGGGATACGATGACATGCATCAACCAAGTCAGCGAGCCTGACCACCCTTTCCCGTTAGTCGCCTGTTACGACAATTGCTGAAGACCGAATCTAACCAGGATCTTCACGGGTCTGATTTCATGTAAAAGGACGACAACATTATTTCATTAAGCAAGTTTATTCTTTATAAATGATATAATAAGTATTTTCATTCATTAATAAATATACGACAGATTTACAGCTAGGGCTGAAAACTTAGCTTCAGACCCTGTCACTACGTGAATACTATATGTTCTGTGCTCGACTCTACAGATTCTTTTATTAACTATCAACTTCTACTGTCTCGACTTGAGGGACCTATCAAAGCGATCACTATTCAACATTCTGTTTTCTGCCGTTATGGAAACGTTTCCAACGACACCTAACAACATTATGTTTATGCGTTTAAAACGCTTTGATTTGCAAAACGTTTATGAACCTCAGTGTAGTGTTATGGCGAAACACGGGCTCTGATAACTCAGTTCCTCGAACAAGAAACGAAGTTAACCGATTTTGTCAAACAGAGACATCTAGCTCAAATGCATCTTAATATATTATTTGCATTTCATACAGTGCAGTTTGAAAACATAAGCTAATCACACACAAACTTCTATATACAGTCAGTAATACTGATTCGGTATGGGGTCCCCTTGGGCTCTGTAAAAAGAGGGACTGCGCCCGACCCCTATATAACGCGGGTTACTACAACACATACACACTACTGCACAGGGAGAACCTCGAGTCTTCGTCTACAGGTTGACCTCTGCTACGACTTGGCATCCAAAATGTGGAACGTAAAAGAAAGAACCTCGAACTGGTTTTTCGAAACGACGAAAGGTCCATACGACTACCGGTACAGTGTAGTCTGGGAATGTTCCGTGATGTTAATCATATACTTTCATAATATCTGCAAGTCTTGAAAAGTTCTTTTCTTTGCAAAACTAACAGGAAGCAGCATCTAACAAAGTCCCTCGAAGTCAAGAGCCCTGATTCTATGTACACCTATTACATTTTCTGTACAACATACAAAAATACGCCTGGAAATTTGTTAGGCACCGATAACTATCCTATATTTCCATACATTCCTAAGCCATTCGAAAAAAAATTCTTATCATGCATTTATTTTTCAACGAAACACATCTGATTTGATTACAAGGTGATTTTAAGAAAATAAAAAATAATATAAGGTGGCATACTCATACTGAAATACAGAAACAAATTGTTTATGTAATTGACCAATGTTATGTTACTATAGCAATAGCTATTTGACAACTATTTGATCCAGTCTTTGCGACCATCTAGAGTGTTTTCATTATTAGTTGTTAGGCATCGGTGGTGTCTTTGATACTTGTAGAAATAAGATCGATGTCACGTGTAGATATTCCCAAAATCTACAGAGAAGTTAGGAATAAAGGAGAATAGGGAAGGAGTGGTGCTTAACGTGTTTCCAAGTGTATGTTAAACAGCATCGCCATCTCTGGATACAGCAGTTCAGTACGCAATATGGACGGATAAGAAAGAAACAACAGTTCCACTTTGGTAAAATCATTTTGGCAGTTTTTGTCAGGACGGAATATATGACTTGGAACACGTTATAAGGAACACATTAACATACGTATACACGCTCAGCTATATAACACCATAGGCGTCCACACTTGAGCTGTTGGTGAACCTCGTGATGACACCAGATTAAAGTATCCTTCACATGCGTTGTCACGAGGTTATAAATGCCATATCTGTTATGGAATTACACCATAGGCTGGATTTTATCTTGCATAATAACATGATTTGGGTAAGAAGCGCATCCCATAATTTCAAATCGTAATTCTCTATCCCGCTGCGATCCAGAGCTTGATGATTGGCGAAGCGCTAGTAAAATCATGATGTCATCAGCTTCATGGTGTGCTTTCCTATGTTCTTGGGGCGTTGCCAACGCCTAGCACCGTCTTAAAGGATCCAATCCCATACCTGCCGTCTGCAATAGAAAAACGAAATCAGTGCAAGGATAACACTAACATCAAGTCTCTGAAATGAACATATTTTACAGAAATAAACAGTTGTTAAATTAAAGTTATAAAAATATAATTAAAATGAGCCTAGAGACTTTCTTCATTTTATGAGGCTGCAGTAATTTAGACTCGCCAAATATTATAGACTTTCATGTGCTTTATTGGATATATTAGTTTCAGAGACTGCATGACAGACTATGCAAGGATGTTTGGATATGATATTTAATTAAAGACGTAAAAATGACAGCTATCAGACAATTACATAGCGAGAAATCAAGTATAGTCCCTATAGCAATAGGGTAACAGCTTGTTTCAAATGGATGGGTGCTTTTTGTGATCACAGGGACACACATGGATTTTGCAGTCGGTTTGTTTTGGTTGAAAAAACATCCCCAAAGGAGTTGGTTGTTGTGTTGTAATGGTGGAAATGTTAAGCTGCACAAAAGGGGGCGGGGCAGGACAGTGCACACCCCGTCCGGATCCGAGCATGTTCAACATTCTGCGTTAATCGTGAAATGGCAGCAAGTGAGTGAATGTTGTTTTACGCAACATGCAGCATAGTCGCAGTCAGCAATATGACGGCCATATCTTATACTAATTTTGGCAAGGTAACCGAGGGTTTGAGGGCAACAACCTCTGCCTTGGGGTACATCTTCCCGTGGCAAGGGCGTTAACTCACAATAAAAGTCCAGTTTCCTTCTATAGTCAGTTAACTCCCTTGCCTCGGGAAGATGTTGGGCAAAGATAACATTTATGCTTGTCCTCAGGACCAGCGAAAGTGAGTATTGGGCGGTTACAATGTCTGACTTGGCTGGATATACTAAGACTGCAACCACTGGGTTTCCAATTCGATTATTGACAAGCAGTCGTGATAAAGAAAACTGATCGTAGACTATGGCGTAAAGGAAGTTTGACTCCGCCACTCTTACTGCATGGGAACCACCAGGAGTGAGCACATTTTGCCTATTTGGAGCATGGCTATACATGTTTGAAATTTTGAATACTTCTAAAAATAATTGTGTCAAATAAGGAAATGGTATACTTTAATGAGCAATCACAACTTGCAAACTTATACTGGGAACTGATACAAATGTAGTCAATTGTGTTGCAGAACACCCCCGTGTAGAGTTGCGTCCCTTAGGGGTGTTAGGAATTTATGATCGTGGGTCAGATTCCCAGATTCGCCCTGATTGTTTTTCTAGCTTTGTTAGCACCGTACAGTGCTCAAGGGTTTCCCTAAAGTGGTAAACATGTAACGATTTGCGCTAGTTTGGGTTTCCCTCTCACATCAAGCTGAAATACCGTTCAAAGCGGCGTTAAACCCTCACTCACTCACTCTATACTTACATGAAGTAGGCTTGGGCTTCTCCATCAACCAGTACCTGAATCCCTCCTTGGCCCTATCGTGGTACGAGTTCCTCAGTGTAATGTCGGGCAGTGTCGTCCTGGACCTCACCTTGTCGTAACTCCCTGGCACATTGCCCTGGAGACTCCCGTGAATGTGGTCGTCGAAAGACTGGTTGGCGAGTCGTCGGTTGCCCCCCGTGGACCAGTCGAAGCCGGTCGACGGGCTCAACCATGACGTCGTTCCATCTGCAGATGAAGAAATCACACTACAGTGCCTGTAAATCACACATTCTCATGTGTCCTAATTGGTACTGACACGCAAAAAGGCTCTACATGGTAAAGAAACATCAGCTGGATTTCTCACAGACTTCCTGTAACGTGTTTACAGAGGGATTAATCATCATTATACGTTTCATTTCTGGAAATATCCAAGTCGACGATAATCGGTATTTGTGACACAAATACGATTCAATATTTGATAACTTTCTTGTTCAAATATGAATCCTAGTTATTGCTACGAACTGGTGTTTTGTGCAGGAAGACACTTGTAAAACAACATTCTTTGCGTCTAAGGCCTTGTAGCTCACCTATGACCCGAATCTGAATACCAATTTTCGTTCATAATCCATAGCCATCGTCTCCTTCTGTTTTTATGCTAGAACCTTAATCAAACAACAAGTTGCGCCTTTTGTAACAGATGATAGTACCTTCACCAAGCAAGCCCTTATGACTTTCGTTACAGATGCTCATACCCTAATCAAGGAAGCCCTTATGCCTTTCGAGACAGATGCTCATACCCTAATCAAGGAAGCCCTTATGCCTTTCGAGACAGATGCTAGTACCCTAATCAAGCAGGCACTGATGCCTTTCATGACAGATGCTAGTACCCCAATCAAGCAGGCACTGATGCCTTTCATGACAGATGCTAGTACCCTAATCAAGCAGGCACTGATGCCTTTCATGACAGATGCTAGTACCCTAATCAAGCAGGCACTGATGCCTTTCATGACAGATGCTAGTACCCTAATCAAGCAGGCACTGATGCCTTTCATGACAGATGCTAGTACCCTAATCAAGCAGGCACTGATGCCTTTCATGACAGATGCTAGTACCCTTATCAAACAAGCCCTTGTTTGATATGATACCAAAACGTTGCACGGAATGAATAGAGAAGTTGAAATTCATCAACTCTGTCGTCATATAGATACAGCTATCGTGGTTTCCCTTGCGGAGCACATTGACTGTACGTCGGTTTCCACGTCAGGGCAAACACCACGAAAAATAGTATATATTGTTTTTAAATATTTTCTAATTGGTCACATATGAATGACTATAACACTGTCAAACCCTATCTGTGAACTCCAATTTCTTACCACCCGTGAATCCGGGGTAGAATAGGTCTCCAGCAACCCATGCTTGCCGTAGAAGGCGACTATTGCCTGTCGTAAGAGGCGACTAGCGGGTTTAGGTGGTCAGGCTCGCTGACTAGGTTGATGCATGTCATCGTATCCCAATTGCGTGGATCGATGCTCATGATGTCAAACACTGGATTGTCTGATCCAGACTCAATTATTTACAGACCGCCGTCATATAGCTGGACTATTGCTGAGTGCGGCGTTAAACGACAAACAAACAAACAAACTGTGAACACGTGACGTTAGGATGATAAACGGCCTGCTGTAAAGTCGAGTCATGGCAATAACATGGTGTTGGTTCGCCTTCGTATTGACCGGTAAATGATACAATATCATAATTTTCAAACGATATATTTTGCAGGAAGCGTTGACAATGGGTGGTTTCCTTACCTACAGCGAGTCTGGATCCCTGCTACTGCCCACTATCTCCCTAGTACCAGACTGACGTTAATTATCAGTTACCCAATATTTAACGGTGCGATGTTCGGGTATATGGCCAGTGAACACGCATGCTCAATTACCGAGCACTGCGAGGGTAACTTTCAATCAATCACCTGTCAGGAACGGTTTAATCCATGTCTATTGCCTATGTCTCACACAACTGTGTTGTACTTCGCAGTTCTTACGCAGGTGCACTGACTGACTTCTTGGGGACATCTGTATGGAGTAATTCGAGCGAAACTGGGGAAGACAACGTTATGCCTCACGGGGACGTGATCAATATTGCAATGCAATTTCTTTTCAGTGTAATTGGTTTATAAGATATAGAGCCAGCGGAAATATTTTACATATACTCATCAAAATAAAAAAAAGAAAACCCTGTATATAATGAAGATATTTTCTGAGGTTGAGAGATTTGAACAGAGACCGATGAAAAAGTCAAAAACACAGATGCACGAATACCATAGCTTGTATGGTATGAACACATCATTGCCTGATGGTATCACCTGGTGAATGAAAAGCGGCCCTTCGGCAAGACAAATACTAGTATCAAAATTCATTACAGCCCTGAAACTTACGCCTAATCACGCTTATCACACCCCCTTTCTCCTTCCAACCAAACGCAACCGTGCACGAGGTGTCTATATCGGTAACCTCATGCCAACATTGGCTATAAAACCATGCCAGCAGGACGACCACTCTGTGCCTTAGATTGTTAAGGGCAGTATAATGGCTCCGGCATGGAATATGCAACAGGGAAGTGGCAAGGCGTTTGCAGAAATAGTCCCCGGACTATAGGCAAGATCGGCCATGTTTAGGTAGACCATTCTTCAGGCCAGAGAGTTACCCCTTCAAGTGAGATCGGTTTGACACTTACATGGTCCTATAGTCAGTATTTCAACTTACAAGTAAAAGGTGGTAGTATCACCTTCTAAAGTATGCGGGTACTTGTGAAATACCTCCAGAGACCTCTACTTGTGTCCTAGCTAAGGTTCGCCTGTCATGCATAACCACCATGCTGTCTTGCTCGCTGTGACAAACGCGCTGAGCTTCTCGAAATAATTTATTAATAATAATTTGATTACGAACATTGACTCGACGAAGATGCAACATCAAGAAACATTTGTAAAACTACAGATAAGCATTTCTGTTAACGTACCTAATGATTAAACTCGCACACACGCCCTCACCGCCACCCTCATCACACACACACACACCACCCTCATCACATACACACACCACCCTCATCACAAACACACACACACAAACACACACCACCCTCATCACAAACACACACACACACACACCACCCTCATCACACACAAACACACACCACCCTCATCACACACACATCACCTACACACACACCACCCTCATCACACACACCACCCTCATCACACCACCCTCATCACACACACATACCACCCTCATCACACACACAAACACACACCACCCTCATCACACACACAAACACACCATCCTCATCACCTACACACACACCACCCTCATCACCTACACACACATCACCCTCATCGTACACACAAACACACACCACCCTCATCACACACACACACAAACACACACCACCCTCATCAAACACACACCACCCTCATCACCTACACACTCCACCCTGAGCACACACACACACAAACACACACCACCTCATCACACACACACCACCCTCATCACCTACACACTCCACCCTCAGCACACACACACACCACCCTCATCACACACACCACCCTAATCACACACACAACCCTCATCACACACACACACACACACACACACACACACACACACCGCGATACTCACTATAGTACTAGTACTGTGGTAGTACTGATCAGTACGTTAACCTTCCAATCATGCATAATTACTGCCTTCTTTCCACACATAACGTTAACCCCAACATGTCCGCATTACAACAAAAGTTCCAGTGGCATAGAATAAGATTTAATGCAAAGTTATGTTTTTTACCAAATCTGAAACAGATTTGCAACAGATAAAAGACTCCTGTAAGTGTTCAAATGGTTTGATTTGCCATACTGACTTCAGAAAATGCGTTCATAAAAAAAAATCATGAACATGCCAAAATGTCGATTTACAAATCAATAGCGTGTGTGTCCACCTCTGGTTGCGATGCAAGCAACACATCTTCGTTTCATGGAATGGACCAGGCGTCGCACAAAGTCCTGTGGGATATCTGTCCATATCTGCTGGAGCATGTTTCGTAGTTCCTAGAGTGTCTGTGGAACACGTGGTTGACGTCGAAGGCGCCGATCCATCTCATCCCACATGTGCTCGATTGGTGAGAAATCAGGGGAGCGAGCCGTCCAGGCGATGACGTTCACGTTGTTTTGTTGAAGAGAATCCTGAACAAGTCGAACAATATGGGGCCGGGCGTTAGCATGGTGGAAGGTTATGCCTGGGCCATGACGACGCAAAAACGGTAAAATAACAGGGCCGATGATCTCGTCGCGGTAGCGCTGTCCATTGAGATTTCTCTCTACCACTATCAAACGGGTCCTCTGACTTGCTGTAATCCCACCCCATACCATAACGCTGCCGCCCCCGAACCGATCTTCTTCCATGACACAATGATTGACGTAACGTTCACCTCGACGTCGGTACACTCGAATCCGTCCATCGCTGTGGCTGAGGCAAAAACGAGACTCGTCAGTGAATAGAACTTGTCCCTACTGCATGGCCGTCCAGCGTAGACGCTGTCTGCATCACTGTAGACGTGCTCCCTGTAGACGGTTTCCTGTCAAAATGGGACGTCTGGCGGGTCTGCTGGCTGGAATCGATTTCGTAGGTGTGTTGTTCGAATCCAGTTGTCTTGTCGATCATTGGTTACGCGTGGCCTGCCACTCCGTGTATGGTCTCTGACTGCATTCGTCTGTTGCCAACGTTGCCATAAACACCAAATGGTGTTTCTGTGGACGTTAAATTGTCTTGCAACATCACGTTGACTCGATCCTGCTTCAAGTATACCAATGGCTCGCAGACGCTCATTTTCAGAAAAGCGTGGCGTTTCGTAATGTTGAATAATTGCGTAATTTTGTTGTTTTTCTGAGTGGTTGTTGTCAGCACGATTCTAAACAATGCATATGGAATCCCGTTAACGCTCATGTTTTATACCCATTGTTGGGTATTGATATGCATGGGGCTTGCATAAAAGTTAACTTTTGCATGGAATGCATGCTTTTCTGTAGCAGTTGCATTTTTGTGACTTGATTCCATAGATGTACTACAATATTGAAAACCAAACTTTACTTGTTTGAAAAATACACTAAAATATTGGTTTCACAGGAACTTTTGTTGTTGAGTATATATTGTTAGTGAAGTCGTTGCTGGGGAGTTAAAGTCTGGTTCATATGTAAAGGTGTTGATTTGTTCTGGTTAAAAAACCCAATGTATGGAATTAACTAGATGTGAGCAGCACGTCTTCCGTCGAATAAGTCCACTGAAACTGTAGATATTGAAGAATAGCAACGATGTCAACTTTTAACTTGATACTGATTTTGTTTGTTGTTTAACGCCGCACTCAGCTACATTCCATCGACATGACGGCGGTCTATAAATAATCGAGTCTGGACAAGACAATCCAGTGATTGATATCATGAGCATCGATCTACGCAATTGGGATAAGATGACATGCATCAGCGAGCCTGACTACCCGTTCCATTTAGTCGCCTCTTACGACAAGCATGGGCCACTTATGGCAAGCATGGATTGCTGAAGACCTATTCTATCCCGGATCTTCATGGGTCGTCATTAGAGAGAACACCAGCCCAAAGCGTCCACTGAGGAGGTCGCAACTTAGAACTGGGTGTCGTTCCACAGAGCGATTTTAGCGCTATGTACAACGATTGTAGGCCTGCGTTACAGTAAGATCGCTTTGTGAAGCTGACCCGCTGACTTGGTTGATGCACGTCATCATATCCCATTTGCGTAGATCGATGCTCATATCAATCACAAGATTGTCTGGTACAGACTCGATTATTTACAAACCACCGCCATATAGCTGGAATATGGAGTGTGGCGTTAAACAAACAAACAAACAAACAAAGAAACTTTAGTCGGCTCTTACAACCAGCACGTAATACGGGGATCTACAGCAGGATCTACTGTAGAACCTATTGATAGATCTATACTACAACATACATATAACACCCGTGTGGATCCAGATTACAATTGGTCTTCCCATGCTTGATCGATGCTCATGATATCAATCATTGGCCCAGACTCGATTATTTACAGACCGACATTATATAGCTGGATTATGCTGAGTTCGACGTTCAAAAACAAACAAACAAAACACACGTATGACGTATGGCCATAAACGTGTGTTTTTTAACTGTACTTACCGCCATCTCGCCCAAGAGCCGAGCCTCCCACATCGACGCGGAACATACTGGTCTGCAACATAACACTTGGTGTTGTAGTTCATCAATATTTAACAACTTGTGAAATAATTTGCTGTCTAAACACAAAATCAAATCAATATGAACGTATAGTTAGTACACGTGGTCTGCGTGTCAGTGTTTCAAGCGATACGCCATTAACACCGTAACGAAGTAGTACTGACTTCGACCAGGCAGTCAGCTGCGAGACTCCGTCCGATCACGTTACAACAGACACGTTCCCTCAATCAGCCCAGGAAATTCCGTATACCTTATTGAAACTTCTTAATCCTGTACGGGAGAAGGATGTAGATATCGATTGTATCCTTATACATCTTCCCGAGGCAAGAGAGTTGACTGACTTTAAAAGTCCAGTTTCCACCCTTGCCGAACTAGGCTGGTATTATGGAGTTACATGTTGGCTGGACTAACAAGTCTATGCATAGTCCAATCAAAATCGCGCACCGAAATCGTAATCCGGATCGTAAACTGTCAAGCAGATTTCGGTCGATTGCAGCATTTGCAAAACATGTGCACCGCTAACTCCTTGTCAACAGATATTTTCTATATTTTTCATGTTTTTAATCAAGGTGCACACGTGATTTGATTATATTTGGCGATGTAAGACACGTTTGATCACAATATAGATCTTGATTATCGATCAGATCGTCTTGACTGGGCGCCGCCGTTTAGTTTGAAACAAATGCAAGTGATACGAGAGGTGGAATCTGACTGGTCCATAGGAGAGGCTTAGAAGGGACATAACTCGTAATAGCCACTGGTGGCGCTCCGATCGAGCCCAGCAATCCCAGCCTAGTTCAGCAAGGGTGGAAACTGAACTTTTAAAGTCAGTTAACTCACTTGCCTCGGGAAGATGATCCTTATATAACTGCATTTCTCTTTAGAATGCCGATTTATACACCTTCCCGAGGGAAGGGAGTTAACTGACTACAAAAGTAACTCCTTTGCCTCGGGAAGGTGAAACGGAGGCAGTGCTTTACGAACTGCTATTCGGTGCATATCCCGACAATAAGGATCCGATACTAACGTTCATTAAATATGCAAAAGGAAATATAATAAGTCAATAACTGATCAAGAAATAGAGTCAAATTTCATTTACAGTACATGTTTGTGAATAGTGTTTGTAGAGCCAAACCCGAGGAATCCCTCACCTGGGAATGTCTGTGTGAGAACAGCCTACATCGCGACCGTTGAGAGTCTATTGATTAAATTTCATATCGCTGCTGATCGATGCGTATTAATGTTTATATCTATTCAGTCCCTAGGTAGACTAAACAATGCACGATTGGGAATCAGGGAATTCAGCTTTGTAAGAATCAGTATGGTCATATTACTGTTATGACAGATTCAAGAAAACGACCCACTGACTTTGACCTTAGATATCCACATTTGGACAATTTATAACGACCTTATATGATTTTGTTTGTTGTTTAACGCCGCACTTAGTTATAACACGTCGGTCTGTCTATAATCGAGTCTGGATCAGAACATCCAGTGATTGACATCATGAGCATCTACGCAATTGGGATACGATGACATGCATCAAGCAAGTCAGCGAGTCTGACCACCCGATCCCGTTAGTCGCCCCTTACGACAAGCATGGGTTGCCGATTCATGCGAGGGAAAGGCGTCCGGCAATTATGTCAGTGTCAATTACATTTGACATTTATAGAGGGCGATCCAAGAAGTACTTTTCATGGACAGAAGTTGCAAATAGCGATGGAAAACATTCATATGACTCGATAATATATGAATGGGAATCTGTGAGATGGCTCTCAATTACGTTATCCCGATCCGGAGTCAAGAACAGAGGATGCTTTTACCGATTACATCGAACAATCTCATTCTAACATACACGGTAGTACTTAAATATACATATGCTCGGATTATACATTTGGAATAATATTTCTTTCAGATTTATATTTATAATCTTAATATACAATCAAATAAGTGAGGCTTATCTATGTTTACTGGCGTATTTCTCACTACAGTAAATCTGCGACCAGCTCGCCGTTGTACAGATGGCATGTGTTAACACTCACCAAGTAGGCATGCATAGTCTAGCTCTGTGTTAGGCCACCACTGAGTCTCCCACGCTCCGACACAACGTATGGGCAAGCGTGACAGCTGTAATTTAGGACTATTGATGATTCAACGAGTGACAAAATTCCCACTCATGGTCTTAGGAAACAATCTGCCAAAACCGATAATCCTCACAAACTTTAATCCCGTAGATCGCTGATCTGTAGGCAGCCATATAGCAGAACAAAAGATTACATTTAACAACTGAGAATTCACGAGCGGATTCTTGGGCTCATTGTTACCATCTACAAAGCTGCCACACGGGGTAATTCTACCAGGGAGTTATCGTCGCTCCATGAGCATATTCTATCACTGACACAACGCTGTATTGGGCATTACATCGGCGGTAAAAGCTTAGTGTACAAATCACAACCACAATGCTCACTGACAGGGTACGCAGCCGAAATGGATGAGATTCCTCTTGATCGAAATTTTGAATTCACGGGCTTTATAAATGAGCACAGAGAAAGTGTCACTTGTCGTCTGTTTGATGCATTCAGTGTACGTGTTTGCCGATCAGGTTTTATTGCTTCCTCCGACTTTTTATTGCCGCGTTGGGTCACTATTATTGATGAAGTTTTAAATGTCGTTAATCTTTTCGAGGAGACAAGTGATTGCAGTCTTAAAGTCATACGAACATACTAAGCTAGCAATACGCGTGAGGGATGATTGATCAGTTTATTGTTATGCAGTGTCTGTAATTTGTTTTATTGTACACTGTATAAATGTCAAATATAAATGATACTGATTTACTTCCTGCACCAGTTTGACAATAATAGTTTTATTTAATTCTGTTTAGTAAGATGTACTGTTCTATGAAGTAGATTAATTTTTCTATTAAACCTTCTCTAAATCTGACTATTGGGCATCGATCTGAAAAAAATAATTCCAAATTCTAACGCCCGGAAGAGGAGATGTACTGATCGGGACGTCTCAGACGTTTACCATTTCGGTGAAACCCACGGGTATGGTGCTGACAAACCTAGAAACATAATCGGGGCGAACCGGAATTCGAACCCACAATCATAGGTTTCTGGCGTGCCTAAGGGACGCAACTCTGCACAGCGAATCGCGGCGCCTCAGACGACTGGGCCACCCGTGCCCTCACGTCCATGTGAAAGTAGCTGAGCCGGTGGTCGAGCTACTATGGTTATGCAAAGCGAGGACCTGCACCCGCATGCTTCAGGCTTACTAGGAACGACCCCATTCTTTTATGAATGTAGTCCCCAGACCTTATATGTACTAAACTTTAGGGCGGTGAAATAAACTCGATTACTCTTTTACACCAAGTTCATCATTTCATTGATAATGGATCATTTGATCCATAAATATCCAAAAACAATGTACCTAAATATTTATTTTTCAAAAGTCGCTTCTAAATCTATTTGGGCAGTTGGAAGCCTAAAGGTTAAGGCCTTCTGATTCCAATCCCAATCATGGTGTACGTTGTGAAGTTCACATTTGATGTTCACCGTCGTTATGCTCCTGACGGCGACCTAGTCCTCGCTCACGTTGAAGAACATGCAACTTTCTACCTTACACGCGAGGCGGGGTAAAGTGGGGTTAAACGTCACGTACAAAATTACTCTGTGTATGTGTTCGTGTTGTGTCTGTGTTGTGTGCGTGTGTTGTATGTCTGTGTATGTTAAGTGTCTGTGTTGTGTGCGTGTGTTGTATGTCTGTGTATGCTAAGTGTCTGGGTTGTGTGCGTGTGTTGTATGTCTGTGTTGTGTCTGTGTTGTGTGCGTGTGTTGTATGTCTGTGTGTATGCTAAGTGTCTGTGTTGTGTGCGTGTGTTGTATGTCTGTGTATGCTAAGTGTCTGTGTTGTGTGCGTGTGTTGTATGTCTGTGTATGTGTTCGTGTTGTGTCTGTGTTGTGTGCGTGTGTTGTATGTCTGTGTGTATGCTAAGTGTCTGTGTTGTGTGCGTGTGTTGTATGTCTGTGTGTATGCTAAGTGTCTGTGTTGTGTGCGTGTGTTGTATGTCTGTGCGTGTGTTGTATGTCTGTGTTGTGTGCGTGTGTTGTATGTCTGTGTGTATGCTAAGTGTCTGTGTTGTGTGCGTGTGTTGTATGTCTGTGTTGTGTGCGTGTGTTGTATGTCTGTGTGTATGCTAAGTGTCTGTGTTGTGTGCGTGTGTTGTATGTCTGTGTATGCTAAGTGTCTGTGTTGTGTGCGTGTGTTATATGTCTGTGTATGTGTTCGTGTTGTGTCTGTGTTGTGTGCGTGTGTTGTATGTATGTGTGTATGCTAAGTGTCTGTGTTGTGTGCGTGTGTTGTATGTCTGTGTGTATGCTAAGTGTCTGTGTTGTGTGCGTGTGTTGTATGTATGTGTGTATGCTAAGTGTCTGTGTTGTGTGCGTGTGTTGTATGTCTGTGTGTATGCTAAGTGTCTGTGTTGTGTGCGTGTGTTGTATGCCTGTGTTGTGTGCGTGTGTTGTATGTCTGTGTGTATGCTAAGTGTCTGTGTTGTGTGCGTGTGTTGTATGTCTGTGTGTATGCTAAGTGTCTGTGTTGTGTGCGTGTGTTGTATGTCTGTTTGTATGCTAAGTGTCTGTGTTGTGTGCGTGTGTTGTATGTATGTGTGTATGCTAAGTGTCTGTGTTGTGTGCGTGTGTTGTATGTCTGTGTGTATGCTAAGTGTCTGTGTTGTGTGCGTGTGTTGTATGTCTGTGTTGTGTGCGTGTGTTGTATGTCTGTGTGTATGCTAAGTGTCTGTGTTGTGTGCGTGTGTTGTATGTCTGTGTGTATGCTAAGTGTCTGTGTTGTGTGCGTGTGTTGTATGTCTGTGTATGTGTTCGTGTTGTGTCTGTGTTGTGTGCGTGTGTTGTATGTCTGTGTGTATGCTAAGTGTCTGTGTTGTGTGCGTGTGTTGTATGTCTGTGTGTATGCTAAGTGTCTGTGTTGTGTGCGTGTGTTGTATGTCTGTGTGTATGCTAAGTGTCTGTGTTGTGTGCGTGTGTTGTATGTCTGTGTGTATGCTAAGTGTCTGTGTTGTGTGCGTGTGTTGTATGTATGTGTGTATGCTAAGTGTCTGTGTTGTGTGCGTGTGTTGTATGTCTGTGTGTATGCTAAGTGTCTGTGTTGTGTGCGTGTGTTGTATGCCTGTGTTGTGTGCGTGTGTTGTATGTCTGTGTGTATGCTAAGTGTCTGTGTTGTGTGCGTGTGTTGTATGTCTGTGTGTATGCTAAGTGTCTGTGTTGTGTGCGTGTGTTGTATGTCTGTTTGTATGCTAAGTGTCTGTGTTGTGTGCGTGTGTTGTATGTATGTGTGTATGCTAAGTGTCTGTGTTGTGTGCGTGTGTTGTATGTCTGTGTGTATGCTAAGTGTCTGTGTTGTGTGCGTGTGTTGTATGTCTGTGTTGTGTGCGTGTGTTGTATGTCTGTGTGTATGCTAAGTGTCTGTGTTGTGTGCGTGTGTTGTATGTCTGTGTGTATGCTAAGTGTCTGTGTTGTGTGCGTGTGTTGTATGTCTGTTTGTATGCTAAGTGTCTGTGTTGTGTGCGTGTGTTGTATGTCTGTTTATGCTAAGTGTCTGTTTGTGCTTGTTATAGTCACGACAGATGCCTGTTTTATCTTGCCGCAATGTAACATAGTTAGTCACTCATACACGGTACGAGTTCCGTACGACACCCTATTATTGTATCCCCTTAATGTCACGAGAAAGGGGTACTACTACCTCATACAAACATCAGACCAAAGTCGACTACCTCATAAGACGTTTAAACTACGCTATACGACAAACCCTGTGCACATTTCACGACAGAATTGGTCTCCATTGCTTATCTTAAACTGGGATAGCTTTTTAAAAAGAATTACATTCTGTGAGTCAGTAGTGTTTAACGCCGCTTTAAAAAATATTTCAATTATATCACAGAGCATACTCTTTTATATATGGGAGGAAAGAACTAAGGTATGAAGGTCTTAGACGTTCACCACTTTGGTGGAACCCACAAGCATGGAAATGACAAATCTACAAACACAATCAGGGAGATCATATGTTTCTGGCACGCCTAAGGGATGCACGGGATGCGATAAACGACAGGGAAACCCGTGCTCCGTTTACCACCTGGTATCTGAACGTTCGCGATGATCGTTTCCTATACTTATCAACAACTCGATTGTCTTGCCAAGGCACGATTCTATACAATCCGCGGTCCTACAAATGCACTTATGCTGATTGTGGCGTAAAACAACATGCATACACCCACTCACCTGCTGCCCAGTGTCTAGCTCCCCTACCACGCCGATAGTGACACTCGGCACTTCTCGTGATATATAAACTGCCGCTAGTCCTCTGAATCTGCTCGACCCCGCACATTTGATTGTCTCCGCCAAGACTACATTTTGATTCAAGTAATAACCTGTTATGACCCTCAAGGAAACGGTCTTTATCAACAGTATATATATCAATCAGCCCTTATTGCAATTCAAGACGTGCTCGCGTTAATAATGTCTCTTTCATAGGCAGTGATAAACATCCCGATAAGAAGGACGTATTGTGCGAGTTATTGTACAGAATGTTGACACTAAACCTGTTTATTGTCATAGTGAACAAAACCAAAGAGATTTTAAATATTCCACCATGGAATGTCTTCTTGAAAATTCTACAGGTCTTAGGTGACGTGAGTGAAACGGGCGTTCTACTGCTATTGATATGGTAATTCCTATACGCAGTTCTATAAGTACACTGTCTGTTTTTATGAACGTAATTTGATGGTGGTGAGAAGTTAGGCATAACCATAGATCAACGTTCTTACTTTCCAAATAATTTTTAATCAACTTTGCACAGACATATATCACAAATTTGATATGGTTCAAATGGAAATTGTAAAAATACCACACTGAACAAGATATGACGACAGTGAACAGTACTGAAGATTTGAGGCCGTGCGTAATAATATGTTCTGGTTTTGGTGTTGAAAAGCTGTCGTTTATACAACAAATACTTCAACAATAGCGATGAATATCACACTGAGTGTTATTCGAGTTGTAAAACGTGTGCCATATATTATGTTGACAAAATGTAATAAGATTTCAGATGAATGAAATAGGCATGGGCATCTGTTTCATACCCTTTGGGTATCGCCCGATGACTTCCTTTAATGGAGGCGTGTATTATATAAGAATGTTGACTTTCTGTTATATCACAATCTAACATAAGAACTGATTGTAGGCACGAGAACACCATTAGTAAGGTGTTCCATTTATGAACAATCGAACCTCGTCATAAGTGTATAATAACGTTATGTTCAGTTTTGGGGCCCCGTTTGCTCATCTACGTGTTTACAGAATAGATTATGAACTCCTTTCCGACAATTTGTAAAAGATGACAGTTACCGTGAGTACCCGTCGAAGAATACCCAAGTGTAATGTATTTTAAAATGACAAGGGGCACGGGTGGCCCAGTCGTCTAAGGCGCCGCAATTCGCTGTGCAGAGTTGCGTCCCTTGGGCACGCCAGAAACCTATGATTGTGGGTTCGAATTCCGGTTCGCCCCGATTATGTTTCTAGGTTTGTCAACACCATACCCGTGCTCGTGGGTTTCACCGAAGTGGTAAACGTCTGAGACCTGCATAACTTCGGGCTTTCCTCCCACATTAAACTGATGTGATATAACTGTAATACTGTTAAAAGCGGCGTTAAACCCAACTCACTTACTCACTCACTCATTCTAAATGACGAGGTTGGTCAGCATTCTGACTAAATGTTTCAAGTTAAGTTTGATGGAGGGTCCCTAGGAAGAAGGCACTGCAGCTAACACTCACCCTTGTTTTCATGTTTGACCAGTGGTCGGTGTTCCCTCTGGGCTGGCTGACCGGGTCATAGCGGGACCAGAAGGTCATACTGAAACAAGGACAACAGAATTAAATACAGGTCAAACCTTCTCCCGTCCTCTATTATCTTGGGTGTCGTAGTACAAAGCTACCACAGCCCTTAGGTGATCGTAACACCCATACCTTTACATAGACTTGCGACAGTCGTAGCGCTGAGGCTGTTTTGTACAACCGCGCCCATGCTGGTGTAGATCCATTCCAAGTTGGAGTACCCCGGAGTCGAGCCTCCAAGCGCTGAGGCTGTTTTGTACAACCGCGCCCGTGCTGGTCTAGATCCATTCCAAGTTGGAATACCCCGGAGTCGAGCCTCCAAAGTTTCGTTTCGGGAATGACGTTACCATGTCCCTTTCTCTGATCACCCGATTTCTCTGGCTTACGAGTGTAACAAGATTGAACTGCTATTTTAGGTTGTGCCAGTTATATCCGGCTTAAAACGAAACTGGTAGCAAATGGGTTCAGTGTTTTTATCAGAATGAAGATATATTACACTTAACTACTTTAAGTTTAGATATAACCGAGTTCATAACAATCGTATGTGCACTAGTCACAGATCACTTCACGCGCATCAGTGTATTGCTTACGTCATGTGGACGACACTCGACAATTGTGGTGTTCTAAGACGGCAGTCGTGATCAGTGCATTTTCCTAAAGGGGAACTAAAAAAGAATTAAGAAATAGTGTCTAACAGAGAAATTGTTATACTCGCACGTGTATCACACTGATTTTACTAAACTCGTGTAAGAATCCATGTATTACACTCGTTCTCGCTCGGGAAATACAAGAATTCTGACATTCATTTCGTAAAATCAGTATGAAATACATGCTCGTATAATAATGCACTATATACTAGAATGACCTTCTCCGTCTACATGCATAGCACCTAGCTAAACACGTAACCTACCTATATGCATCACCATTCGATACACTGCCCTGAGGTTGTAAGATTGAACTCAATCCTAACTGTTGGAACACGCCCTGGACTACAGCCTTGTTGAAATACAGCCTAACAAACACATCCGACCAGGCAGGTGTAATATCCAACGTGAATGTTGCCTCGATGTATTTATAATGACGGTTGAATCTGCCTGTAACTGACACTCCGCACAAGCAATAAACTACACATCACCGTGACATGGAGAGGCTGTCAGCAGTGAACTCGAACAGAACCTGATCGCAATTGACACTTTATATAAGTAATAAACTACACATCGCTCTCACATCAAGGGTTCAGCAAATCTGAAAACAAACTGGGTGCCTGGCAGACCTCGAGAAACTGACTTCTGATCAAGTCCATTTCCATTCCAATATGAAATAAAGCGGCTCAAATACAAGATTCTGGTTACTATGTCAACATATCAAGCCCCGACCCTGTATTGTGGACAATGGAGTAGACATGGCTTAAGTAATTTGTTTGAACATGTGTCCACGAATGAGATTATCCTGAGCTTTATTATACGCGTGTCAGGCGAGAAGCTGGTTTTATTGTAATGGTGTTGATTTTACGAAACTGATCTCATCAGACAGATTAAATGATCTACATAACATAACTAAACAGCCCAATTCGTTGTGACGAGACAAGTCTACATCGTCGAGCATATGGACCGTAAGGGCCGGATTTTCGTCTTAGCATTCAATATATATGGAACAGATTAACTTAAAACACAGGTCACCCGTGAACATCCGGATTAGAATAGGTCTTCAGCAGCCCATGCTTGCCGTAAAAGGTGACTACGCTTATCGTAAGAGGCGACTAACGGGATCGGGTGGTCAGACTCGCTGACTTAAGAAGATAAGTGCGTGTGAGATTGTGACGATTAGTATGGGATAACCAATATTTGATGATGCATTATGAGTGAACCAATACTTGAACATGTGATTGTGAGACAAACAATACTTGGAGATGTGAGTACGATATAACTGATACTTGGAGATGTGAGTACGATATAACTGATACTTGGAGGTATGAGTATGGAATAATCAATATTTGGATGAGTGAGTTTGAGATAACCAACACTTGAAGCTCTGAGTATAAGATAACTGATACTAGCACGAGAGCTTGAGGTAACCAACACTTGAAGCTCTGAGTATAAGATAACTGATACTAGCACGAGAGCTTGAGGTAACCAACACTTGAAGTTCTGAGTATAAGATAACTGATACTATCACGAGAGCTTGAGATAACCAACACTTGAAGCTCTGAGTATAAGATAACTGATACTAGCACGAGAGCTTGAGGTAACCAACACTTGAAGCTCTGAGTATAAGATAACTGATACTAGCACGAGAGCTTGAGGTAACCAACACTTGAAGCTCTGAGTATAAGATAACTGATACTAGCACGAGAGCTTGAGATAACCAACACTTGAAGCTCTGAGTATAAGATAACTGATACTAGCACGAGAGCTTGAGGTAACCAACACTTGAAGCTCTGAGTATAAGAAAACTGATACTAGCACGAGAGCTTGAGGTAACCAACACTTGAAGCTCTGAGTATAAGATAACTGATACTAGCACGAGAGCTTGAGGTAACCAACACTTGAAGCTCTGAGTATAAGATAACTGATACTATCACGAGAGCTTGGGATAACCAACACTTGAAGCTCTGAGTATAAGATAACTGATACTAGCACGAGAGCTTGAGATAACCAACACTTGAAGCTCTGAGTATAAGATAACTGATACTAGCACGAGAGCTTGAGGTAACCAACACTTGAAGCTCTGAGTATAAGATAACTGATACTAGCACGAGAGCTTGAGATAACCAACACTTGAAGCTCTGAGTATAAGACAACTGATACTAGCACGAGAGCTTGAGGTAACCAACACTTGAAGCTCTGAGTATAAGATAACTTATACTAGCACATGAGCTTGAGATAACCAATACTTTGAGATTTGTATATAAAATCTGAAGATGTGATTGTTTGATAAACACTACTTGAAGATGTGATTGTGAGATAAAAATACTTGAAGATGTGATTGTTTGATAAACACTGCTAGAAGCTATGATTGTGAGATAAACAATACTTGAAGATGTGATTGTGAGATAAACAATATTTGAAGATGTGATTTTGAGATAAACAAAACTTGAAGATGTGATTGTGAGTTAAACACTACTTGAAGATATGATTGTGAGATAAACAAAACTTGAAGATGTGATTGTTAGATAAACAATACTCGAAGATATAATTGTGAGATAATCAATACTTGAAGATGTGATTGTTAGATAAACAATACTCGAAGATGCGATTGTGAGATAATCAATACTTGATAATGTTAGTAGATAAACAATACTCGAAGATGCGATTGTGAGATAATCAATACTTGAAGATGTAATTGTGAGATAAACAATACTTGAAGATGTGATTGTGAGATAAACACTACTTGAAGATGCGATTGTGAGATAAACACTACTTGAAGATGCGATTGTGAGATAAACACTACTTGAAGATATGATTGTGAGATAAACAAAACTTGAAGATGTGATTGTTAGATAAACAATACTCGAAGATGTAATTGTGAGATAATCAATACTTAAAGATGTGATTGTGAGATAAACGCTACTTGAAGATGCGATTGTGAGATAAACACTTACTTCAAGGTGTGATTGTGAGATAAAAATACTAATACTTGAAGATGTGATTGTGAGATAAATAATACTTGAAGATGGGAGTAGAAAAAAACAGATGCTTGGTGATATGTAGACATGCGTAAATCGGTATTTAGTGATAGGCATTATAGAATAATAGAATAGCTTCATTCAAAATGATACAAGCTTGCAAAAAACTTGAATTCGATAAATCATTCTTTAAACGGTTCAATGAGGTCGGAAAGCAAGCAATTCACATACCACCATGAAGCCAGTGTCTTAAGAGTTCCGTACCAGTTGACTCCGGGCTCGCTGCTAAGTGCGATGTCTGGGGTCACTGGTTTAATGTGTTTAGACATAATTAGAAAACTCCAGAGTCAAACGTAAATCGATTGTAATTTCCCAGGTGGGGTTATGGCGTTAACCGTACGGAAACAATTTCACACTTGGTGGGATATGTGCGTTTATATTGTATGTATGGGTTGCTTGAGTTATGTTCAATGACTCATAACTTTCTTGTTACTTCGAAAGCATCTAACATTCTTATATCACGTCATAGAATTACACACAACCATCCCCCCCCCCCCCCCCCCCCCCCCCCCCCAAAAAAAAAAAGAAGAAATATGTAAAAATAATAAATAAATAAAAATAAATAAATGTAATAAATAAATAATAAAATTACAAGATCTAATAAAATAAATAAAGTGGCCATTTCACATATAGGACACAGTAATGAAATCGTATATATACCTAGTATCATATCTAAAGCAAACTGTCATAGCACTCTGTCGACCCTCCGATCGTCAGACACAAGAAAATATTTTCGCATTAGAACAGCGCTGTCTGACACCTGTACTGAGTATGTTCAAACAGATGTCTCATGTATATCGGTCCGCAATACCTTTGTGTAATGAATATCATTGTCAATAGCATTTATTGGATTGGAGTCAATCTTATTCCTTTTTTATCTACATAAGAGCAGGCGCAAAAGCTTAGCAATGTTTAATACCGGGTCTACAAGAACGCCGCCTTGTGGGCCACAACGCAGGTAGTTTCACGCGGGACATTTCTCTTGTGATAGCTTTATATGGTGGCATAAAACAGTTGCTGCCCACTCAGTGGTACAAGACATGATCATATTCAGGGTACTCAGACTGTTACGAGAGACCGGGTTTTCTGTTAACGTTGGTGGTGTCAATATTGGTGTCAATATCATTACACACTGTGTTCAAATGCCAATGGCCACGATGTCACTTCGTGCAAGAATACTAGAGTAGGGAATATTGTTAATAAAGTCAATGATCATGTCCAGACAGCGCCGCCAGCATTTGTGCTCCCATCAACCACGACATTGGTTCTATAGAGAGTGGACAGTGATGTATTCCCTTGGAATTACAGAGCCAGAATCAACAATCACCTCGTTC